GTATAAATCCATCTCCATTTTATCTGATTAACGTTTATTTAGGCCTAAAATAAGCCAAGCAAACTGTACTGCACTGAAACATTCTGTGCCCCTTTTTTGGACCCTCACCCACAGTTTGAGAACCCCTTCTTTAAGAGAACTTCCACTGGCACTTTACACAAAACTATGAAGAAAGTGAGTAAGATTTTTAAACCTGTTTTTTCAAGTTCCTAACTGGAGTTACAATCTCTTAATGGTTTTTGCAGTGGGATTTAGACTCTGCACATTTACCAAATGCATGATGTGGCAAATACAGATGCATTTATACACTTTTATGAGGCAAACTTCAACCACATGTCACAGTAATTAGTTTATTGCCGACGGCAGCGGCTGTAATGAAATATGATCACACTCGACGAGAGTCAGACCTCGAGTCTGAGACAAGGCCGAGTCCAAGCGCCTTCAAGACTGAGACAAGACGGAGTCCAAGCGCCTTCAAGACCGAGACAAGACCGAGTCCAAGCGCCTTCAAGACCGAGACAAGACCGAGTCCAAGCGCCTTCAAGACCGAAACAAGTCCGAGTCCAAACACAGTCAAGTCTGAGACGGACTAAGACTGTAAAAAAAACAATCTCGAGTACTATGACTCTAGTAGAGATTGGAGTTTTCCATTTGAGAGAAGAACTCAGCCTAAATATGCAGAGTTTGTGTGTTGAACATGTGCAAATAAAACAAAAGTCCAACTCCAGGCCTGTTTTTGATGAGGAAACAACATTATAACAGTAGAAAATTGCGTAATATGGGCCTTTTAATCAGTATTTTTGCAGCCTTTCAAAATACTTTCATAAGAGTCTGTGAACTTCAAAAAGAAAACAGCGCCTACAATGTTGTCCTTCTTATATCTCCCTCTAAACTGTCTTGTCTCCCCTGCTTTAGATTGGAAAATTGTTGTAGCAGCGGCCGTCTGTCCTCTGCTCAAGTGAAGGACAAAGTTAATCCCAGCTGTGTGTTTCCTTTGCGGGGTCAGCGGCACGGTCCTTAACAACTTTTCCAATTAGGTCTAATGTAAAACTACTTTCTCCCTTCGACTCTGGATGTGTTGCTCAATTTTTGTAGCTCAGTTCTGGCATGCTGACATCTGACCCAAATCACCAGGACAGACAGTGTTGTGGTTACTGAAATAAATCTTTCCCACACAGGTGTTTTGGGGTCTCAGATGAGCTCATCGTGACATTCTAGAGGTCCCCGAGGTCGCGAGAAGGACGAAGCAAAAATGTTAAAAGTCCTAAATTACGCGAAACTGACTCTTGTTGTTTTAAGCCGTGTTATAAAGTTGTTACCTCGTTAAAAATAGACCTGGAGCTGCATTTTGTTTCATTCACACATGTTTGAGTGACCGTTTATTATTAGTCTGTCTACATCTTCAAAGCTCAAAATGCGCCATTCCACTTTGTGATGTTACAAAGCGGTAGTTTTCAAGTTAACACTTGACGTTTTACTTTTTTTTCTGGAGAGATTTGCATTTCGAGGTCTGAAATTTATCCAAATGATAGTCGTTTTCTGTCCAATCCAAATGTAAACACTTGGAATAAATCTCACAAGATCCTTTTTCTCATGTGTGCACGATCTTGTGGCAATTTCTCGTCCCATCCCTAATATTTATAATTCAGAAATCGAGCTGCTTGGAAGAGAGTGAAGAGCTACAGGCTGGAAACCGCTGATTCACACAGTGCAGCTTGAACTCAGACTGGGGATCTTAACCTTTTTGACCTTTTTGAGCCATCTTTTTTCAGTAATGTCACCTGTTAACGGCTGTAAATTATGTTATCCGTGTGGCTAACCCATAAACTATACCATATTTTTCTGACTTTTTTTCATGGTTTGGTTGTTTCCTGCAACTTATCCTCCGGTGCGACTTATATATTAAAATGTTCAAGCTGATAGGCACAAGAGGGCACTCTAGTCTTGTGTGTCAGTATCTGCTGCTCCTGTTCCTCCTGTACCACTGTCACTTCACTCTACTGCACATGTCTCCTGCAAAAAGAGCCTCTGTCCTGTCTGTATCATGTCAGTCAATCGCAACATTACTTCTGTACCACTGAAAATTTTACATTTAAACAAATTTATAAAGACGACTGAGAAGACTGAACACAAATGCCCCCAACAAGTAAATCATATTTTGCAGATTACAAACTGCAAGTAGTGCAATCTGCAGCTGAAAACAGTAATCGAGCAACAGAAAGAAAGTTGGTAGTGAGTGAGAAACTTGTGCGCCATGCAACTTTCCTGGAAGTCACTGGATGGATGGACAAAGTCTGGACTTCAGTGACACCGAAACCATCCTGTCGGGATTCAGAAAGGCCTGAATAATTCTAACTGGAACTGATGCTGAGTCTGATGACAGCGACACAGAAGAGGAAGCGGCGCTTTGTTTACCTCCAGAGGTCATGGAGTTGCTCAGAAGTGACACCGAGGATGAAGAATTGAATGGATTTAGTGATTTGGAGTGAGATGGAGAGTTTGGTAAACTTGTTCTGTTCTGTTGTTTATGTTATAGTTTATCTGAAGAACTGTTCATATGTGACGTTAACAGTCTGTTGTTCTCTCTTCTATTGTTATTACTAGAACTTGACTTTCAACAGGAAATGTCAATTCAATATATTTCCCCCCAAAAGTGCAACTTATATATGTTTTTTTTTCTTGTTCGTTGCACATTTTTTGGCTGGTTCGACTTATACTCCGGAGCCACTTCTAGCCCGAAAAATATGGTGTATATATATATATGTGTCTGCAAGCCTCAGTGAGCTTAATTTGACTGGAGCCGAACGCTACGGGTCACATCACGCTCAGTTCTTTCACTTCTCTACACTGTCTATGAACCCACACAGTTCTTGCTTCCCCACCATGCTGCTTTAGAATAGAATTAGCTTCCTTCTACATTGTACTTTTTACATCTTCTATATTATTTTAACTAAACAGCTTCACAAAGAACTACCAATAAATACAGATGAGGTACTTTTGCTGCATTGTCATCCCGTAATGTCCCTTGTACTTCAAAAACATACTTCATAACATTAGATTTTTGTTTCTTTCACATGTTTTTTTGTTGTTTTGTGTGTGTGTGTGTGTGTGTTCATCATGTGGCCGGATGAAAATACCCTGTTTCAGCATTTTACGTAGATTTCGTAAACCAGGAAACAAACTCACAGTCTTCTCACAGCTCAAACCGACTTTAGTGAAAATCTGTTCGCTTCCCTGTTTTGTATTTTGTCTGCTAGAGACCGAATAAAGATTACGGTAATAAGACCATCACTTTCCATCCACTTTTGAAACACAACTCCAACCAGAACCGACGGAGATAATATTTCAAAGAGAACAGAAAGTCACACCCATGTTTTCCAGGGGAGTTATTGGAATGGAAAGTGAATATATGTACTACCTGTCAAAAGTTTGGACTCACCCCCTCATTTAATGTTATTTTCTTCTTTTTTCTTACCACTTTTTACATTTTATATACATACAGAAGACACCAGAAAGGGCTGGTGCTGTTTAAACATATGTTACATAAATTAAAATGACTTAAATTAAGAATATTTTACTTTATTTGAGTTGATTCAACTTGACAAGTAAAATTATCAACTAATGGAATAAGTGTGTTTTTCTTAATTCAAGCAATGTTCAATTTTGTTTCTTATTTTAAGTGCAAAAAGTTGTTATTTTTCTTTCTCTTTTTTTTTTGAAATCTTAATTCAAGTCATCTTAACTTGACTAGATTTTGTTTTTTGCAGTGAAGGTTTGGACTCACGCTCTCATTATATGTTTTGTTTTCTTCTTTTTTCTTACCACTTTCTACATTTTTATATACAAACAGAAGACATCCAACATATGAAGCAAGATATATGGCATTATTTAGTAAAGAAACAAAGTGAAATAAATGTACAAAATATTTTTCGACAAACTAAAGGATGGCTGCTTTGAGGATTTGTTTTTTTTATTTATTTAAAGCTGCATTGTGTAACCGTCTGAGCCAAATTACTGGTTAGAGTTGGGGAGGTTCGACCCCACTCACAGTAAGAATAGATTTATGTCAGCAATAAATAACACCTATAGTTGAATAAATATGAGAGATTAGTTTAAAGCCATACTGTGGACAATTTAAAGTATTAACATCTCCATGGAGACAAAAAGGTTGGGGACCCTCTCCAGAAATGTATTTATTTATTTTATTTAATTTTTATTTTTATTTGCTACACAATTCCATAAATCTTACTTCATATATTTGATCATATATTTTTTGTATATGTTTAAAAATTAGTAAAAATATAGAAAAAACATGAATGTGAGTCCAAAGATCTGACATTTACATTTCTATTTTCTTCTTTTTTTTCTTCTTCTTCTCTTTTTGACGTTATGTTTTGGCCCATGCTGTTTTTCTTGGGTTGTTTGTTTTCTTGGGTTACGTACGTCTACTGTAAATTTCGTCATTGCCTGGGATCCAGAAAACACATTTCTCCATTGTGGACTTGCCAGGAAAATTTCCTCATCTGTTATTGTGAGTGGTGTAGACGTACTCAAAGTAAAAGTAAAAGTATCACATGAACAGATCTACTTAAGTACAAGTATTAAAGCACCTGTTTGTCAAAGTATTTCTCAGATTTTGAGATCTTATAAAGCTTCAAATGTAGTGATTCTGATACAGATTTGTGCTGAGTTTTGTTCAGTTTATTGTTTTCTTAGCTGTTTTTATTTATGACCTTGTTTTTAAAAAATTACCCCTCTTTTCTCAAACAATAATTAATAATACTTTTACTTTTGAGTCCATGTAGTGTAGTAGAAATTACAGATACTTGCTCTCAAATGTAGTGAAGTAGAAGTAAAAGCTACAGACTTTAAAATCTGCTTACGTAAAGTACAGATCTCTAAAATGTTTAGTTAAAAGTTGCTCTGTGTAACTTTTCTGGTGGAGGGTTTCACTTTCTTGTCTCCATGGAGATATTACTGTTTAGCCTGAATTATTCCACTGTATGGAAATAAACATTGTAATCACAATAGAGACAGGTTAACGGTCAGATCTGTGGAGAAGCAAGCTTGCACATGGTAAAAATTAATGTTTTTTGAGGTATTTTTGAGCTATAAACACCTGTAACTGAACAAATGCAAGGCAGATATCTGTAATGCCCTACCGTGGAACATTCCAGGCAAATTAGTGAGCAAGTAGCAAACACTTCACCTTAGAAATTACACAGTGAACCTTTAACTTATGCTACTCAAATTACATTTAACTTGATTTTAGTAGATTTGACTTGACAAGTGAAAATTTTTATTAATTTTTTTCTCGATTCAAGCTAAAGAAGATCTAAGACCTTGTTGCTTATTTTAAGTGCAAAGAGTTGTTATTTTTCTTAACTTTTGTGTAACAAGATATATTTTCTTAACCTGATTCATCAGACGGTTTCACTTCGTGGAAACTGTCTGACTTCGCAACATTAGGATTCGTTCGCTTGACGGTAGGCGGGTACTTTTTTTTATTTAACCAATCCCTGCTATTTGGTCTTGATGTATGTAATGCACCAAATCCTGTAGGAAGAAGGACAATAACGTCTTTTCCCCTTGATAAAATTCACTAAACATTCTCTTTGTTCCGGCTTTAAATCCTCGATCTCAGGAATCGTTGCCAACACAAAATGTCTGTTTTCGTCTACATCCATCTCGACGCTTTGTTTACTGTTGTGCTGTTCCACAAAAGGGACGCAGACAGACGCGTAAGTTTGATGACATGGCTTCACAGCTCTTCACTGATTGGCTGGTTCGCGGTCTACAACTTCCGAGGTTCTTGCAAATCATCTAGTGTATTCTGATTCCTGACCTAGTCGCTGGAGAGAATTGAAATTGAGCAAAAGCACTAGGTGACGGCAGCCTGTCTAGTATTTTCTTATTCTGAGTACGAAAGGTCTTGTTTCATTGGTAGATGATTTGACTTGTCATGTGAAATTGACTTCAAATCTTTATTTAAGTCATTTTAGCTTGTCAAGAGTTTAGTTTTTGAAATGTACAGTGCGTTTACTACTTTTACTTTGCTACATTCCACCACTGTTTAACCTCTTCTCTGTATTTCTCTCTTCTCTTTTAGACGGTGGAGAAAGAAGACCGGATACTCAACATTTCGGACATAAAATCAGAAGACAGGATCAGTGTTCCAGAGCTACCACCGAAAGACCCCGTCCCTGCCCTGGAACAGCCCCCAGTGCAGCTCCCGACCCCCAGCCCTTCCTCTTTTCAACGCCATCACACCCAAAGCCCGTGTGAAGACAGCCCTGACAGTCCACCGCAGCCTGAACCGAGAAGAAACCAGAATCCTGTCGCTGAAATCCAACCACAGCAAACTCAGAACGACACGGACACACGCTCTTCACGCGATTTCGCCCTGGCAACCTCTGTTTTTCCCTCTGTGCTGGAAGAGGAGAAAACTACACAACATCAGGTGCTTCTAGTTCCCGATAGAGACGCGAAAACAAAAGAAAGCGGAGAACTAAACAGCTCGGTTGTTGAGGAAATGAGTGTTGAATTTCCAGCTCCGGTCAGTAACAGTGAACTGAACACGCAAACACATCTTCCAGAAATGAACAAAGAATCTGAAAATGCAAATATACTCCAAGAAAAACAGAATAACGAGGATCAGGAAGCTACTAAAGAGAGTCAAATTCCCATAGAAAATATTCCTCTTATTCAAATATCGAGTATAGAAGACACGCAGGAAGTAGAAGCCGCCATGTGCACTGGAAATATTCAAGACAATAGTAAATCTTTACCAGTAACTAAACCTATTTTGACAGGTTTTGAGCATGACGTTAAAACAGTTCCAGAAATTCACATATGTTCCACAGAAGAAATTCCAGAAGTCCAGGTGGTTGTTCCGGTGATTTGCGTGGAGGACGAAATTCTGACTCCAACCATAGAAATAACTCAGCCGGATGTCATAGAAGGTCCCGTACCGATCCTTAATCTACCAAAAGAAAACGAGCCCGCCGTTTCACAGAAGGAGTTTGACAATTGGCCAAATATCATCCAAAACGATTACGTGTCAGATTTTTGTATGCAGCTCGAGCCAGAAAAAGCCGAGGCCCAAACAGAGGAGCTCCCCCAGGTTCATTATCCGATTATTCCGATTATAAATGTGTCGTGTACGGAGGAGGGGATGGAGCAGGTCTCGGAGATAAGGCCGTCACTTGAGACTGTGGAGCTGCCGGTGTGTGCGCCCGTGCTCGTCGTCCAAACAGCAGAAAGCGGAGATACACGTGAGCAAGAACTCAGCGAGCAGAAGGAGAAGAGTGAACCCAGAGAGGAGACTAAAGTTGTAGAGAAGGTAGAGCCGATAGAGAGCGCTGGAGCTGGACACGGAGACACCACGGCTCACGTAGAAACAGCAGAGCTCAGAGAAGTGCCAGTGTCTGAGCAAATATGTGAAAGGTCCGAGCTTGGAGAATTAATAAAACACAAAGAGACATTAGAGATACAAAGAGAGACGCCTGAGCACAGAGAGACAGAGCCAGCTGCCTCTGCTGTGAGTGAAGCTGCTGTGAGGGAGTCTGGAGCTGCTTCACAAGAGGAACCTAAACTCAGTGAAGCTCAGACCCAGGGTGAGGTGCAAGAACAGAGTGGAGCAGAGAACAGGCTCACAGTGGCCTACGAAACACCAAAGACTGATGTGAATGTGCTGTCTCTGAGTAAAACAGTGGAGGCCAGTATAGAGAGTGAAATCACCCAGTCTCTGAAAGAGGCGCGCATAGAGAGCTTCATGTCTGTGGAGAGGCTGAGCTTTAAGCCCCCGCTGTACCCCTCCCTGAGCCCGGCCAGTCTGAGGAAGTTCATGAAGGCCTCAGGTGAAGCAGACTCTGCAGGAGACAGACAGAGCGACAAAGCCGAGGACTCTCTGAGCGGCGGCTCTACCCCCACCTCGTCTCTGTCCTGTGAGAGCAGCCCCCGCCTCAAACGCAGAGACAGCCTCTCGCTCATCCGCTCCGCCACCCCCGAGGAGCTCGCCTCAGGGGCCCGCCGCAAGATCTACATCCCCAAAACCAAAGAGGAGAGTGAGGACAGCAGCGCTAAGAAGGACAGTCCCTACATGTCTCCCGGACAAGCTCGACGTACGACCTATCTACAGCCGCCCAGTGGCTCCAACACCCCCCCTGTGGAGAGACGCTCCCCTCTGCTCAACCGGCGGAAGGCCACGCTGGAGGTGCCCAAAGTGGTGGAAGAAATACCTGTGCCTGAAGAAGTCAGCACCAAACGAGAGGAGAAACCAGGAGACAAGAAACCAGATCCACTTAAAGGTACATGTTTTTATAAATATAAATGACACTTTTTATCCAGCCAAAACTGAGAATGAACTGACAAATCCCTGTGTGTTTGTGTGTGTGTGTGTCTCTGTGTGCGTGTTTGTGTATGTCTGTGTGTACATCTGTGTATGTGTGTCTGTGTGCAGCTCCTCAGGTGATCCGTAAGATCCGGGGTGAGCCGTTCCCTGACGCCTCTGGACACCTCAAACTCTGGTGCCAGTTCTTCAATGTTCTGAGCGACTCCACGATTAAGTGGTACAAGGAGGAGCAGGAGATTCTGGAGGTGCAGAGGAGGTGTGTTCACACTTTAGCTTAGTATAATTTTATTATAATGAACTAAATATGTATATATATTATAAGTTATATTAGCTCATAACTACTAAGTATGTGTTAGGTGGAATATTACACACACTGATCAAAGTCTGACACCAGTGTTCTGTGAAATAAACTAAGTGGATACAAAATATGATTCATCATATGCAGTACGTATATTACATTTTCAGTTCTACGTTATGCGGTTTGTTTCTGTCATACAGTTACAGGTACTGCAGAAATAAGTCTGTGTGAAAAGAGAAGTTACTCGAGCAAAACATAAAATGACAAGACATTTCCTTTTTTAAACCAAATCACAATTATAGCTCAACAGTGACGCTGCGGAGGCACGAGTGTGGGCCGGTTTCTGTATGAATAAAATGTTAGTTTCATAGGAAATACACTGATGATACAGCTAACCCACAGTGTATTTACCATACTGTATAGTGGATACTCTATAATATAGTTTTAAATCTATTATAATTAAGTAAAAAGGTTCCAGCACTGGGACCATACACCATCAGATTTTCAGATTCACAGTGGACGTGTCTTTATTAATCTCTATAAATCAGTACAGGGCATAAGATATTTTTGGTATGTGCTATGAAACCCAGGAGTACTGTTACTATAACTTATGAAACACTTCTTCACTTTGACGCTGGAAATAGCTTGGCGTGTGACAGTGACCCCTTGTGGCTGAAACCTGTGCTGTTCTTCTTTCTCTGTGCAGTGGAGGAGATGAGACTCAGGTCGCTCTGGCCATCGTTCTGGCCTCGAGTCTGGACTGTGGAGTCTACGGCTGCTCCATAAAGAATGAATATGGCAGCGACACCACGGACTTCCTGCTCAGTGAAGATGGTGAATGTGCATGAGAAATAAAACTACATGAAAATACATTTATGGTGATTTAACATTTTAAACCTTTTTTCTTTAGTCATGGCGGAGATTCTGCTCAAAGACGACTTGGAAGGTACAAGTATTCTTCTGTTTAAATCTGTCCACATTAGTCTTGTGTTATGAAAAGGAAGGAGGACATGGGTCTTTATTATATTTTAATGCTAAATGATGCACATTATTTTAGAACAGGAGTCTTCAACCTTTTTTTCTCCAGTGAGCTCCTTAGAGAGCTATTGATTTTATTGATTATTGATTTTAGCGGCCACAAAAAATTGAATGATAAGAAAGAGGGCAAGTCTTTGGGTACAGTTAGATGCCTATAAAACATAAACCACTGTCCATTTATTAGTGAAAAAAGTTGAGCTTCCAAATTATGCATTTACAATAGTAATAGGAAGGTAATTACCCAAATTTTTGTTATTTAAAAAAAAAAAGTATTTCCCTGTTTTTCCCATATTTATTTTTTTATTTATTCAATTTAATTATTATTTTATTTATTTTTATTATTTTTTATAGTTTTATTTTATTATTATGTATTTATTATTTTATTTATTTATTTATTTTTCCCTACTGGAGACAACGGAGGAGGGTAATGCGTTGGAGGTTTGGGGAATAAAATAATGGTGACATTATATTACTACTAATTGTTTTTTCTGTGACATCTGCTTTATGTGCACAAGTTAGTCATCCGCACAATGGTATAAATTTAATATGAAGGTTGTCAGATTAAAAAGTATCAAATTATAGCTATTTTCAGTTTGTGGAACCCTGGTATAAGAAGATTAAAAAACTACTACTTACTAAACAAGATTTATGATTAACAAGCAATAAAAGGCTTACCTAGTTTTCCCTAATTTGGCTTTAATGTAATTTTACTTCCCGTTTAATTAAATAACACATTTTATTGGTTAATTTTTAAATAACGTGTCAATAAGTAACCATACAGTACCCAGGGCCCTGAGAAAAACAACACGTTTTGTTTCATTCACACGTTAGTTTGAGTAACCCTTTATTATTAGTTCGTCTACACCTCCAAAGCTCAAAATACTCAGTTCCCCCTTGTGATGTCATGTAGTGGGTGAAAGGTTTTAAGTAAACAGCTTCTTTTAGTTTTAGTTTACTAGAGAACACACTGGAGTTTCACTTCCTGTGGAACAAAGTGTTTTCTGTTTGAGAGAAGAGCTCAGTCTAAATGTGTTGGATTATTGTGTTATACATTTGTGAATGAAAAAAAAAACACAACTTCATGTCTGTTTTTGATGAGAAAACAACATTATAACATCAGAAAATAGCGTAACACGGGCCCTTTAAAGCTGTTCTTGTGTTCTTCAGTGGGAGAGGAGATTGAGATGACCCCGCTGCTGTTTAACAGAGGCCTGGCGGACTCGGGGACCTGGGGAGGGAAGTTCTTTGGTCGGATCATGACTGAGACTGTGCACCTGGGCGAGGGCTGGACTCACAAGACCAGCAGAGTGAAGGTCATCTACGGCCTGGAGCCCATCTTCGAGTCTGGGACCTCCTGCATCATGAAGATCCAAAACCCAATCCCCTATGGGACCAAACTGGAGAGCAACCTGGCTGAGAGGAACCAGGAGATCACCAAACAAGTAAGACAGAGTGAACAGGGAGTACATGAATCCTTCAGGTACATATACTTTACCAAAAATCACCACTAATAATAAGATGGAGATAGGATGGAATGGAGATAGGTGCCTGGTTGAAAGAAGGGTCAGACTCTGTGCAGTAATAATTTCAGTAGTTCAGTTGGTAGAGTGTTGAAGGTTGGCGGTTCAAATATTTTCTCTCAACATAAACATCATTGGTGAAGTGATCAGATCCACTGACTCACAGTTTGCCAGTGCGATTCCAGCTGAGGGCAACGGACCCCACACTCATCTGTGGGGCCCGTTGCCCTCAGCCCCTAACCCCTTCCACACATTCATGTTTCTGCACACACTGGTGTATGAATGTGTGTGAATGGTTCCTTGATGTAAAGCGCTTTGAGTTCCCTGGAGATGGAACAAGTTTACAAGTTCAATACTGTTCAATTCAACTTTATTTGTACTGCAAATTTTACTAACACAAAGTCTTTAAAGTGCTGCACAGAGACCCAATATAAATTAAACACATTAAATCAGGGGTGTCAAACTCATTTTGGTCCGGGGGCTGTATCCAACCTACTTTGATCCCAAAGGGGCCGGATCAGAAAACTCATGTCATATAATCCCCAAAAATAGCAATAAGTTCAAATATTTGTGCTGAGAAACACAAATCTATTACAGAAATCTTTTTTAATTGATGAACTCTTTCTTTTACAAAATAATATATAATTATGAACAACTTGAAACTTTAAGAAAAATGCAATTTCAACACAATGTTTTAACATTAACTTGTATGCAAATAGGAATAAGTCTGTTTTTGTTGGAAAATCCTGCACTCGGCTCCACTTTTCTCATTTTTGCATTTTTCTGATGAGGGTGTCACGGTCAACAGTCAAAACGATCGTCCTTTAAGAGCGTTTGGAAAGAGACAAGTCTTCATTTATGCTGCTCTGGTGGGAGGGGCCACGCACAGAGACACTGGAGATGCTGCTCTGATAAACACCGTAGAAAATTAACAATATTTTAATAGAAAATATAATTTAAATATTATAGTAGAAAATCAGCTGAGGGCCAGAATAAAAGTCTTGGAGGGCCGGATCCAGCCCCCGGGCCTTATGTTTGACACCCCTGCATTATATAAAATAAAGCATAAAATAAACAAATAAGAAAGTAAACCAAAAACATACAAAAATACTAACATTAGCCAATAGAAAAATAGCAAATATGAGAAGTTTAGGGCCAATATTTAGGGCCAGTGTTGGTCAGTGAATCATTTTATTACTCCAGTTATAGATCAAAAATAATGGAATATTGATTGAACCAATATCTTGGAACTGATATATACAGTGCATCAAGATTTCCATTATCTGCACCGATATCTGAAACCTGAATCATATCAGTGCATCCCTCATAATAATGACCATTGACCATTTTCTTGTGTTGTGTCCACAGGAGTGTAAAGTTCAGAACATGATTCGTGAATACTGTAAAATCTTCACAGCGGAGTCTCGAGTCAATGAGAACTTTGGCTCTGCTCTAGAGTAAGAACGATGAATAAAACTGGATACTGAAGTTTGTTGAAGAATTGCCTGTGTTTAATGTTCGGTGTGACTTTGGCAGAGTGGTCCCGCAGTATCTGATGTACCGACCTGCAAACTCTGTGCCGTACGCCACAGTGGAGGCGGAGCTGCAGGGACCCTTCCAGGCGTACTGCTGGGTGGACTCTGGCAAACTGAACTCAAAGGGGGGTTCTGAGGTCGAGCAGAAGTGCTGCACTTTCCAACACTGGCTCTACGAGTGGACCCACAGCAACCTCCTGCCCACGAGACTGGAAGGTACGGCCCTGTGGTTTCACAACTTCAATGGTGAAATAGGAGTTTGGCTTTCTAGTGGCTGTCCATGGTTTTCAGAATGATGAGAAATCAGGACAATTGTCAAAGTGGTTAACAATTTAAAACAACATATCTTTTGGAGGATGGAGGCTATAATAGGAAGCTGATCGAATGACATTTGACAGAGTGAGGTTAAATTTTGAACTTCAACTTCACGTTTTAATAACATATATATATAATAATAATATCTTAGATGCTATAGTGCAGACATGTGAAATTCAGGCCCGGGGCCAAATTTGTAGCCTAATTCATCAACCATTTTCCATTCATAGAAACCGTCTGACCTTGCAGAACTCGTTCACTTTACGATAGGCAGGTATTTGGTAGTCACGTATGTAATGCACAGCTAACGGGGCTAACTGGTATATTAAGCTTTTCCCAAATCCCATATGAAGAAGGAAAATAACGTCTTTCCCCTTGATAAAATTCATCAAACATTCTCTTTGTTTCGGCTTTAAATTCTCGATCTCGGGAATCGTTGACAACACAGAATATATGGCTCCTTGCTGATTGGCTGGTGGCCGAACTTGCACTTCCGGGGTCTATTGTATTTTGATTCCTGACCTAGTCGCTGGAGAGAAATGAAATTGAGCGGAAGCACTAGATGGCGCCACCCTGGCTACCAAATTTGTCCCGTGATATAAATATATGTGGTCCGCGAGATCATATTGAATATGTATTAGAGCTGCCCGCCGGTTACAGACAAGCTATAGAGACATTATTTATTTAAAATGTTGTTATTATTTTATATTCTGCTTGTTCTGGATTCAATGTTTAAGCAAAACTATTATTAAACATTTATTTTAATAAGAAAAAGTTTAACATTACATATCTCGAAAGAAGATGCAGATGTTGTTGAAATTTTTCATTAAATATTTAGTTTGGCCCAAGAATTTGTCACAGGTTTTAATCTTGGCCCTCTGTGAATTTGAGTTTGATAGCCCTGCCATAGTGCCTTCTACAAACAAAAGACCATGTTGTTTCATTCCTTCTTAAAGACCATGCTGTGTCACAGCTGTGTACTGTACTGTACTGACCCTACGCCCTTCTGCTGTAGAATTATATTTACCCTCTCCTCTGTGTTCTCGACAGGTGTTGATTTTAAAATTACCAACATCAGAGTTGCGACCAAGTCCAAAGGGTCAGTATTTACAGCTTAAAGCACACACCTGTCTGCTGTCCGGATCATAACCCTTTGACTTGTGCCCTTCAGATACCAGGGCCTGTCCGAGCGTGGCTCTCCTGAAGTGTTTGACCAGTTCATCACTCACCATCAGTGCAACTACTACTGTGGACCTCCTGGGTCTGAGGCCCCTCAAATCCATGGACAGTCTCCAGCCGCCCTCAAAGATGAAGGGATCCAGGAGCCCGCTGCTGAACCGTAAAATGAGCGTAGGATCCGGAAGTCCACACATGCCAAAGAAGGCCTCACTCAGCCCACATTCACAGAGAAAAGCTGGAACCAGCCCCAAGGCGCCGAGAAAGAATCAGGAGGCAGAGGACAGTAAAAGCAAGGCTGTAGAGAGCAGGTAGGAGCCAGGGTGCTAATGACATGTTTTTAGATTCTAATTATTTATTGTATAGATCTAGTAATTATGATCATGATGAGCACAAGGATGAGAAGACACTGAACCTTTTTGTTAAAACCAAACTGTGAATGTAAGATTTGTCTTATGCATTTTGGCGGTCAGCCGTTGTCTTTGACTGACGCCAGACTGTAGCGTGTTTTTTCTGTGAAAAGCCTCACAGCATTATCTCATGGACGAGAAGACAAGAAGCGCCTCTTATGTGTAACAGCTCAGAGCGGATCAGGTCACGTGTGGAGCGGCTTGTTCCTTGGACTGTGGCAAACCCAAGATCTGGATTATTTATTTAAGAAGGAGTGTCAAAAAAAAAAAAAAACAATGACTGCAATCAAAGGCTCCTAACTGAAGTGCCCTGCTCAGATACCGGCTAAATGACAAAGATAATACGTAAGCCATTCTAACTGATACCTTGCTTGATCTCGCTCTTCACTTTGCATGAATCGTTAGACTGATCAGAACTACAGTGTATTTGGTGTTAAGAGCTGATGATGCCAGTATTGTGAAATGTGTAGCAAAGGAGAGAAGAAGTGCTGGAGACTGAGGGTGCGTTTACACTTGTCCTAGTTTCAGCCCAGTTTAGTCCTGATCATAGACCTTAAATGTAAATGGACATAGCTAACCTGCTAGTCACCACGTTTCAAATAGGAAATGAGCATGGACGCGCTTCCGGCTCCATCGACACTGGTTCCAAGTCACTTAGTATTGAAAAAACAGCCCTCCTCTATGAAACTGCTGCTGTCAGATCTGTCATTTTGATTTGTGATTGATAAAACCCGTTCTACGTGATCCTGGCATTTTTATTTTGTTGTTTTGTCAAGATATGAACTTTTTTTTTCAGTTTTTTCCCCGAGAACACTCCCTCTAGCATTAGCAACAGGTTTGATTGAATGCGAAAAGGAAGGGACATTCAACACCTTCAACAGCCTTGTTCCTGATTGACGCTTTGATTGGTACGACACTCGCAGTAGGAATTACAAATACCGTAAAATACCAAATAATAGCCGGGGCGTTTATTTGTTTCAAACAGACCAGGGATTTATTTGAGACCAGGCAGCAATTTGGGGCAGGCGATGAATTCATTCCTCACAAAAATCTCAGCAAAACTGGGAAAATATGGTACTCAAATTCTTTTAACCAGTATGACTATAGTTGACAGGGCTCAGAAGCGTTGCCGTTATACAACATGGCGATTACTTTGTCAAGCTTATGGGCTACGATTTCTGCCGCGTCATCCTCTTTGCCACAACTTTTCTCTTACGCCACAGCAGCTACGATCACATTGCTGCTTCTTTCGAATTGCCAAACTTAAGTAATATCACCAAAACTTCTAAAAACAGCTTCCATTTCCTGCCTGTTATGTTGCGCCATCTTTCTTTTTTACGTCACGTTGAAATAGGGATTTTACAGCAACATCATCTGTTCCTCCACTTTTTCAGTGACTGGATGCAGCGTTGAAAAAATATAGCCTATGCATTCAGTCACGCAACCAGTCTGGTAAAGTTAGGACTGAACTGAAGTCAAACTGCTTCTGTGTCAGGCTCTCTGTGGTGTCACTGCACTCATCATCATATTATTTATATATTTTCCGGACTATAAGTCACTCCGGAGTGTAAGTCGCACCAGCCAAAAAATGCGCAATGAAGAAAAAAAAAAACATATAAGTCATATCGAACTATAAGTCGCACTTTGTGGGGAAATATTTTTATAAAATCAGAGACCAGGAACTGATATTTCATCTTGAAGGACAAGTTATAGTAATAACAATAGAACAGAGAACAACAGGCTGAATCGGCGTTAGTTATGTTAACATAACATATTAACAGTTATTCAGATAATTATAGCATAAACAACAGAACATAAGTTTACCAAACTCACGATCTCACTCCAAATCACTAAATCCATTAAATTCTTCATTCTTGTTGTCACTTCTGCGCAACCTCCGGAGATAAACCATAGATCCATGAGGTAAACGGAGCGCCGCTTCCTCTTCTGTGTAGCTGTCGTCAGACTCAGCATCAGTTCCAGTTAGAATTATTCCGGCCTTTCTGAATCCTGACAGGATAGATTCAGTGTCATTGAAGTTCAGGCTTTGTCCATCCATCCAGTGACTTCAGGAAAGTTGCATGATGCACCCGCCCGATTACCATGAAGTTGTGTTCTCCATCTCCGCTTTCTGCCAGTTTCTCACACATTTCTCGTTCACTCCAATCTTTCTTTCTGCTGCTCGATTACTGTTTTTGGCTGAATATTTCACTATTTGTAGCAGGACAGCGGCTTTTTCTACAGGAGACATGCGCAGTAGAGTGCGAAGTGACAGTGGTACAGGATTAATAGGAGTAGCAGATACTGACACACAAGACTAGAGCCTCTCACGACTGTCAGTCTGAAAATTTTAATATACAACTCGCACAGGAGTATAAGTCGCAGGAAACACCCAAACTATGCAAAAAACTGCGACTTATAGTCCGAAAAATACGGTAAATAAAGCACAAAAAACGGGAAATGGGAGTTTGAGCAGCCTCCTCAGCAGCAGCCATAATGACTGTTGGGGGTGTCGGCATAAGCGACTTTCTATACAAACTCTGTGTTTATTTGGATCCAGCGGTTATTTATCAAAATATACCCCTGCACCCGGCTGTTAAGTTAAACTCGGATATTATTTGGTATTTTACAATATGGAACTTGGAGCTCCAACTTCTTGCTTATAAAGTCTTGCCCCGATGAGCTTCATTTGACTGGAGTCGAACATTCATATAGTCCACTTCTTTATACAGTCTGTGGTCCCGGTGTAGACTTGGTTTGGTCCTCTTCTAGTCTCTGTTTAGTCTCACTTTTTTGCTCGTGTGTGTGCAAATGTGAATGCACCCGTTTGTACATGAATGTGAATGAGTGACAAGAACATGTTTTTGTAATAAAAGTACATTTCTTTAAAGCAGGAGTGTTAATTCATTACAAAATACTCTTTCTGTACACGGTGTAATCGACAAAAACAAAAATAAAACATAGAAACACATAGAACATCTGGAATAATGCAGATAGGTGTGCTTAAAATGTACATATATTAGCTTGTATCATAAATATACTGTATTTTATCACAAAATTTCTATTTACAAAGCGCCTCAAATGAAAGGCTACAGCACCTACAGCATTCTGAGAAATAGATGGTGGAGTTTTGGATGTTTTCCCAGATGCCGCTGAATATCAGAGTGCCGTTATTAACAGTGCTGTGGAAGAGAGGCAGATCTGTCAGTAAAACACAGTAACAGACGATGACATATTTTGCTTTTTCAGGTATTTAGTGTTTAGTTAAAGGGCTTATATTATGCAAAATTGACTCTTGTGAGTTTTAACACATGTCAGAATGTTGTTACCTCATCAAAAACAGACCTGGAGTTGTGTTTTGTTTCATTTGTTTGAGGTACGCCACATTATTAGTCTGTCTGCACCTCGCAAGCTCAACATGCTTTTATTTATTTGTTTGTTTATTTTATTATTTGTTTGTTTATTTCATTCATAAAGTATAAAAAGACATTAATTAACAGTGTTCTAATATTAAATGTAGCAAACAAAGCAATGTTGTCTGCAGTGAGCGCTACACTGGAGAAACAAAACTGCCACTTCACAGACGAGAGAGCAACACAGGACCTCAGTCTGCTGTTCATCTCCATCTAAAAGCTACGGGCCACTCCTTTGAGGACAGTGAGGTACAGATTTGAGTCAGAGAAAATAATTGGTTTGAGAGGAAGATTTAAAGAGACTAGTTTTGTTAAGAAAGAAAATCCTTCCTTCAACAGAAATGGAGACCTCAGACACCATCTATCTCCTATTTACAACTCCATCCTGAGACTTAAAACAAAGAGAACAATAGGGGGAACCAGGCCAGGCCCAGAGGGGAATGATTCTGCTAACATGACCCCACACTCAGCACCGATGAATAGGCCGAGCAAACAAACACAAACTGTAAAAACAAATAGGTGTGTTAGTTTCAGAGTAGTTTCAGTGTAGTTAGCTCCTTCCTTCAGACAGATCTAAGACAGTGTTCACCAGCGTCTGACCAGAACAGAAGAAGCTTGGATGAGCTGCGAAACTTTTTCAACCTAAATAAACATTTTTCCAGTTGACAAATTTAATTTCTCCTTTGCCATGGCCTCTATATGGACAACTGAGGAATTGTAAACACTACAAGAAATTATTGAAAAGGAGCAGAAAGAAGAGTAATCTTATGTTATCTTTAAAACATTTCAAATCAATACATTTCATTTAAATTACAAATATTAATCAGTTGCAAACAGAAACCTTCACTTTTATGCACAATAGCTTATTTTTCTTTTTCATACATACATATTGCACTGGAATGTTTGTATTTTTAAAATGCCAATATTGCACTTGATCCTCTGATTTCTTTGTCAAGACTGTTCCATAAATTAACTCCATAACCTTGGTTCTGAATCTGGGTTTTTTAAACATGTAGGTTTCTTCTAAATTGTAGTGGCTTGTTTTTGAATATTTACAGGTGATCCTTGCACTTTGCTTTATGCACGACTCTGAGGAGAGGATCGTACATTTTCAACACTAACCACACAAATACACTGTTCCGCCTTGTGATGTTATGAAGTTGTAGTTTTCGAATTAACCTTTTTTTTTTTCAGAAGAGATTGAGTAGAAACTGAGACTGAGTTTTCCTGTTTGAAAGAAGAACTCAGTATAAATATGCAGGATTTGTGTGCTAAACATGTGAATGAAACAAAACACAACTCCAAGTCTGTTTTTGATGAGGAAACAACATTATAACAGATCAGAAATAGTGTAACATGGTCCCTTTAAAGTGAAAGTAAAGAAATCAGTGTGGTTGTGATTAGGAGAGTGGGTGTGAATCAATATTATAATTAAGCGCTTGTTCAAATCAATTGGACTTACCTTTTAAAGAGGTCTGTACAGCAGGTGTCAACGTCACTGATGTTCGCATGAAACGGGTTGTTTTGAAAAACATTGACACAGTCCGTGGGAGGCACAAACAGGATTCCTGAACAAAAGAACAGTGTTTTAGAGCTGTCCACTTTTTTTAGAGTTAGGTTAATAAATAACGCTGCACAAATAATCTCAACCAAACTTGAAATCTGAACTGGCAAAATTATCATATTCATGTCACTTCACATTTAATTTCACATTTCACTACTTATTTTGTTAATATGTGTTTATTCTGTGGTTTAGATCTGACAAAAATATTCTGAAATGTATGGGATTCTTGTATAATTATGAGAAAATTGAATATATTGAATTGCTGTGTTTCAGGTGACATCGCAACATTCTATAACAGACATGTCAAACTCAGGCCTGGGGAACCAAATTTGGCCCGTGATATAATTATATTTGGTCCGTGAGATCATATCAAATATGTATTAGAGCTGCCCACCGGCTACAGATAGACTATAGAGACATTATTTATTTAAAATGTTGTTATTATTTTATATTCTGCTTGTTCTGGATTTAATGTTTAAGCAAAACAATTATGAAACATTTATTTTAATAAGAAAAATTTAACATTACATATCTCAAAAGAAGATAAAACATGCAGATGTTGTTGAAATTTGTCAATAAATATTTAGTTTGGTTCACAACTTAGTCCCAGTTTTTAATTTTGGCCTCTGTGAATTTGGTTTTGACACTCCTGTTCTATAGGCCAATATTATTTAATACAGATGGGGGCAGGTAAAATGAATATTGTCCAACTTCAGATTTTTGTTGTAATAAGATTCCATATTTGGGAATTTACGTTTCAGATATTTCGTAGCAAAGTACCATCAAAGTAATCAATCAGGGAAAACTGTCTCTTGCCTCTAGTTCAGTGAGGTTCATTTGGTCTTACGATAATTTATGTTATTTGGTTCTTTTTTCAGTTTTTGTTTTCATACCTGACAGTTTCGACTGCTCACTGTGGTCTTCCTCAGAGTTACGTGATGTTCCTGTGACGTGTCTAGTCATCTTATTTAAACAGGTTTTGTCGCTGTCTTCCTACCGTTGGAGGCAGGACGACAGCGCCATCTGCAGTCCGACTTCCTCAGGACAATATCCCAGGTGTGTGAGAGTAAAAAAGCCCCCTCGTTTAAAGTCCCGTGGACACATTTCTATATTTTGGTTGCCTCTTTAATCCAGCAACGATGTTTGTCGTCCAATCCATAATGTGGTTCTCTCTTTTACAGTGTCAGAAATGGCCGATTTGAGTTGGTTCTGTTCTGCTTTGTGTTTTCTTGCTCTTATATAAACCGGGACGAGATTTTTTTTTTACTTTTCATTTTCAATATATAAAACCAAAAATAAGAAAACAAAAAAACAACTGTTTTCCTCATTATTTGTCTCCAAAACCAAAATGAAAAAACGGATAATGATAAATTTTTTCAGTTTTCGATTTTGTGTTTAAATGAGGAATGGAACAAACGGATAACGGTCGTTTCCCTTTTTCGTGACTGCGATGCCAGACTTTTGCACTGTATACGGACTGAACCAGGACTGATCCAGGTCTGGGACCAGACCAGAACCAGACCGAGACTGAGACCAGACCGAGACCAGACCGGGACCAGAGCGGGACTGAGGACCAGACCAGGCCGGGACCAGGCCGGGACCAGACCGGGATTGATACCGAGACCAGGCTGGGACCAGACCGGAGGCTCGGAGCCCACGGCTGGGCCGGAGCTCGAAGCTGAGGCTCAGACCCCATGGAGGCTCGGAGTCAAAGCTCGGAGTTCGCTCTGGTCCACTCTGGTCCTGGTGTGGTCTCGGTCTCAGTTCCGCTCTGGTCCCGCACTGGTCTCGGTCTCAGTCCCGCACTGGTCTCGGTCTCAGTCCCGCACTGGTCTCGGTCTCAGTCCCGCTCTGGTCTCGGTCTCAGTCCCACTCTGGTCCCGGTGTGGTCCTGGTCTCAGTCCTGTTCTGGTCCCGGTGTGGTCCCGAACCTGGATCAGTCCTGGTTCAGTTCATATGCAGTTTAAAAGTCCGGCATCGCAGTCATGGTAAACGGGAAACGGCCGTTATCTGTTTTTTCCATTCTTCATTTAAACACAAAATCAGAAAACTGAAAAAAACGAATCATTATCTGTTTTTCATTTTGGTTTTGGAGAAAAATAATGAAGAAAACTGTTGTTATTTCGTTTTCTTATTTTTGGTTTTATATTGAAAAATGAATGAACGAATGACAAACAGATTTGCCTCCACCGATGACAGCGCCAAAACCTGTATAAAGGTCACAACAGCAACATCACATGACCACTCTGAGGAAGATCTCTAGTGAGCAGTCGAAACTGTCAGGTCTGAAAACAAACTCTTGATCTGAAAAAAGAACCTGGTAACATCTCTTGCCCTTCGTCTGAAAGTATGAGATTGTCACCACCAATCTTCACTCTGTGTGTGGTTAAAATGTGCATCATCAACTGAATCAGATCTTAAAACCACAAAAATCACAAATAAGAAAATGTTTAACTTATTTTTTCCAACTTTGTGCAGTCCAGTAGCAGAAGGTCACTTGTTTTTTTTTTTACCTGCTATACACGCATTGACCATCGACACACACGTTCCGGTGATCATGGCTCTCAGCACAATACTGGAGATGTCACTTCTTCTGGTTGGACAGATGGACGCTTTAATAATAATCAAATAAAAAATATTGTTAGACATGTCAAATTCCGTCTATCAATAATACTAACATTGATACTTTGCAGTGACACTGGGAGTTTTCATTAACAACGATGACACAATGCACTTTGGCTGTAACGATATCAAAATCTCTGGATACGATATTTTCACGATATGTTGTGGAGGCTTACAAAACTGTGAATACACTACTTTTTCCCTTAAAATATCTTAACAAGACTTAATCCAAATAACTAAGATTTAAAAGTGCTTAGAATTGTTATTTCTTCATGTAGTCTGCGCTGCAATGGAGCAAAGGATCATGGTCTATGTAGTTCCCTCTGTTTTTTAGCTGTTGCTGCACGATAACAATGATTTTAAATTTGAGAAATTTGTAATTCGATCTGTTGTGATGGTCCACGATATTATTGAAAGACTTTTGACGATACAGAATCACGATATTGCAGTTATTGTTACATCCCTAATTCACACATTAGCAAACACTGACAGAAAAGATTAAGATTGTCTAAAAAAAAACACAAATTGGATTTAAACAACACATTTTGAGGAGCCTGTGATCAGTATGAGCGTTCATGGTCCAGTTTTTGGAGTTTGACTTTTCAAGAAAAAGGTCAGAGTGACTTGTGAGTGTAATTTTATGTGTGAGAGATTTGTTTAAGCGCACAACACATCTCATCTGTTGTAGTTCCAACTAATCCAGCTCTTTTTGGTCAGATTGTGTTACATTAAAACTCAGATAAAGTCTACACTGCAAAAAGCAATATCTAGGTAAGTTAAAATGAGTTAAATTAAGAACATTTAACTTTTTTTATAATAAGGCGACCAGATTTTCAAAATAAAAAACTGGGAGACCCTCGGTTTGGGGTGGTTGGTAATAGTAAAATTGTGAAACAAGTGCGTAATTAAGGAAAATTTGTAAGCACTTGGCTCATTCATGACGAACATGTGAGTCAGTATAGTCACATTTTCTTTGTGTTTTGGTAAGTTTTAAGCAGCGTTTCTATATTTTACCTAAACAAATGACACTTCATGCCTCTCTTTACTGTTGCGGGGTATCAGATTGGTCAAAAATAGGGACATTTGGGACATTTCTTGTATAAAACTGGGACAAATCACTGATTTTGTATAAATCTGCTGGGACAGGGGATGCATGGCTCAAAACTGGGACTGTCCAGTGTAAACAGGCAGAAGTGGGACCAAGTTTTTGTTTTGCAAGACTCAAGTAAGTCTCAAGTCCCAAGTCAAAGACAGGAAAGTCCAAGTCACTGCCCCATAAGTCCAAGTCAAGTCCAAGTCGTCTGCTTTGAGCTTCAAGTCATTTCAAGTCTTTAAACCAAAAAAGCACCAAATACAGCTTAGATTTACATGACTTTTAAACTAAATTGTACTTAAAAAGTCATGGTATATTTACATATGAGTATTTTTATAAGAGTTGTAGAAATACTAATGCTTCTCCTTTTAAATGTCTTGACAAGATCTTAGTGTGAATCATTACGGCCAGAACAGAAAGAATTAAGATTTTAAAAAAGAGCTATTTTGTCATGTATTCTGCACTGAAATGTAAGGATCATGTTCTTAGTAGTTCCCTCTGTTTTACTGTATTCTACTGTATATTACTGTAGTTCTTTTGAGGATACCACATCACAGTACTTCAGTTTCATCCAAAGTAACAAACAGAGAAGTGGGACGGACATGTTCCAGTTTGTCCATGTAAAATTAATCACCACATTTATCAACTGTAAAGAGAAAAGTATTTTCTAAAAACATATATTTTTTAGGAGATACATCGAGTTTTCTCAAGTCACAGGCCTCAAGTCCAAGTCAGGAGTCACTAAGCTTCAAGTCCAAGTCGAGTCCCAAGTCTTAGTCTATTTTATCAAGTCACAAGTCCTACAAATAGTGACTCAAGTCTGACTCGACACCTCTGTAAATAGGGACATATGGTCACTCTGTCTTGTGTGTGGCAAGATGTATTTTCATATTTTAAGTACAAAAAGTCTTGTTCTTGTTCAAGTGAATTGTACTCAAATCATGATAAAACTTTCTTAATTCTAGAAATCTTAACTTGGCTAGATTTTAGTTTTTGCAGTGTGACTTAAGTGACAGTTTCTAACAGACAGAGTAGTGCTTCCAGCTAGCGTCACACCCCCAGGGAACTTTAAAAACATCAATTGCAAAGTATCAAAAGCACAGAGCAGATCTACGCACAGAGGCCTCCGATGACGATTCCCAACGAACTGAAGTTTGCGAATCCACACAGAGCATAAGTTGTTATTGTTTCCGATCGCACCTATAAAAAATATAAAACATAATAATCATGCCGATAAAGATGCACTGTGTAACTTTTCACCTGCTTGTTTCTATGGATATGTAACTGCTCTGTCTGGAATGTTCCACAGTGTGACATTAAACGGATTTACCTTACATTTAAATCTCTGTATCATTTATTAATTTGTTTTTCAATATAAAATAAAAAATAAAAATAAAATAAAATTTGAAAAATAAACTCATTATTTGTCTCTAAAACCAAAATGAAAATACAGATAATGAATAGTTTTGTTTGTTTATTTTCAGTTTCAGTTTTCTGTTTCCGTGACTTAAACTGAGATGACGGACTGAACCAGGACTAAACGAGGACTGGACCAGGACTGAACCAGGACTGAACCAGGACTAAACCAGAACTAAACCAGGTCCAGGACCAGACTGGGACCAGACCACAACTACATCCGGGACCAGGACTGAGACCTGGACTTAGACCAGGACCAGACCGGGACCAGACTGGGACCAGACCAGGAATGAGTCCAGGACCAGGACTCAGACCGGGACTGAGAAAAGGACTGAGGTCGGGACCAGACCGGGATTGAGACTGGGACCAGACTGGGACTGAGACTGTTTTAGTCCTGATTCAGTCCCGATTCAGTCCGTATACGGCGCAAAAGTCCAGCATCGCAGTTTAAGTCACGTAAATGGGAAACGGTTGTTATCCGTTTTTTTTCCATTTAAAAACTGAAAACTGAAAAAACTAATCACTATCTGTTTTTTCATTTTGGTTTTGGAGACAAATATTTGAAGAAAATAGTTGTTTTTTTGTTTTCTTATTTTTGGTTTTATACTGAAAAACGAATTAACGAATGATACACAGATTCATTTACAGGTGGTTTTATAGCTCAAAAATACTTAGAAAAACAGGCTTTCTGACAGTGAGTGGGGTCGCCTCTCCACAGATCTGACCTGTAACTTGGTCTGGTTTGGTCTCCGTGAAGATAGAAAGTTTTAATGCCATACTGTGGAACATCCAGACCAAGCAATAACATCTCCACGGAGAAAAGCAAATAAGAAGACTAAAAACATATATTTACCGAAATCCACTGTAACTTTCCGTCGATAATGTAATCAAGTCCATTCAGCCGGTTGATTTTCAGAGCGGATAATTTCTCGTAGGCCACAAACTCATTGAGAAAGAGCTTCGTGCCAAGCAGCTGCGCCACCACGAAGCTTTCTTTGTACGGAATACCCATCATGAACGCAATTGGCATGAAGAGATAGGAGCAGATGAGCTGTAGAACACAAAACACACGAAAAAAACTATTTTAAACATTACACAAAACAGATTCTTGTGAGCTTTAATCCGTGTTCAGTGTTGGGGAGTAACAGATTACATGTACCGGAGTTATGTAATCAGAGTACAAATTATGAGTAACTGTATTCACTTACAGTTACTGTTTCAGTAGTGGTAATTGGATTACAGTTACTTTGCTGAAATAAATGGATTACATGGCAGTATTTTCCTGTTTTCACATTTTGGGCTAAACCAGGACTAAACCAGGTTTAACCAGGTCTAAACCAGGACTAAACCAGGACTAAAACCAGGACTAAAAGCAGGACTAAACCAGGACTGAACCAGGTCTAAACAATATGACACTAACAGTGGGTGGACATAATTTAAAGCAGCAGTGATCTCATACAGAAATAATTTCTCTATCAATAATATTTTTAATATGGTTAAGGGGCTTTTTATTTTCTTTTACAGACAAAACATCTTACGTTCAGATCCACGTCTTTGCTTCTCTACACCAAACAAAAGCCTCTTCATGGAGTCTTACGCTCAACAACCAATTTGAAAAGAACAAACAAGAATTCTCAGGATGTGGTCGCTGCATTCATGTAGTTTTAAAATGCATGACAAAATCAAGTAATCCAAAGTATTCAGATTACTTTACTCACTTTAAGTAATTTACTGGATTCCATTACAAACTACATTTTGGGGTATGTAATCTGTAATCTGTAGGGGAATATATTTTAAAAGTCACCTTCCCAACACACTGGCCGTGTTATATATATAATGCTGATATCTCTTTCAAAAATATACACTACCAATCAAAAGTTTTAGAACACCCTAATTTTTCCAGTTATTTATTGCAATTCGAGATGTGCAAGTCCAACGAAGAGCTTGAAATACAAAGTACAAAGGTAAGAAATGAACAGCCATAAGGTTAAAAAAAAGATAAAAGAACAAAAGGCAAGTCCAAGCTCTGCCAAAACTACCTCAGAAAAAAGAAAAAAAAAAGATGGTAAAACTTGAGAACATGGAGTGTCCAGCAGCACAGTGTCCAGACTTAAACCCCATCGAGCTGGTTTGAACTGGACAGAAGAGTGAAGCAACCTACAAGTGCCACACATTTATGGAAACTTCTGCAACAGATTTGGGAAGAACTTTCTGCAGAATATTTGATTTCTATTGTAAAAAGAACGAGCCACAAGTGTGTTCAGCTGTTATATCTGCCAAAGGTGGACACTTTCATCAATCAAAAGTTTTGAATATGTTTTTGGTCAACAGTAAAAAACTGGAAAAAGTGTGGGTTCTAAAACATTTGACCGGTAGTGTACCTTTAGTTGTGTTTTGTTTCATTCACATGTTAGAGTATTTTTTTTATTTATTACGGGCTCAGTTCATGCTTACGTCACAAAACCGGAAGACGTTTGGAAACATGAAGATGACGACTTCCTTTGGGCTCTATTGATGGTAATAACTCTGACAAAATCTGGGATAACTGAGAAAATGTCCTTGTTCTTCATCTTGATGTCATTGTATTCTTTTTTTTGCTTTTATAAATTGCCTATTAATCTGTGTATTACAATTTGCCTAATTGTTTAAGGCTTCGTTCAGACTGCAGGGCTTGATGCTCAATTCAGATTTTTTTGTGAAGTCTGAATTTTTTTACGTGGTCTTTCACATTTCCAATTAAATGTGACTTGGATGTGATCTCCAGTGTGAACTTTAAACGCCCCAAAAGTGTCCCGCATGTACATTGGAGGACACGACGACGTCACACGCAGCGAACATGCTCAGTGTTTATGGAAGTCGCCTAAACGCTCGGCTTGTGTCCCAAAATACGGTCAACTCCTTCATAAAATGGACAGGTTACACGTCCACAGCTGCTTCGTTTGTTTGAGTCTTTAGCCTCCTTGTGTTTGGCTCACAGGCTCTTTATTTTTTGTTGACATTGGAGTCAGGACCGTCTATAGCCGCACTCAGACATTTCTTTGGCAATCATTTCAAAAACAGTCGGTTCTGATAAGACTCCTCCAGTTTGGCCTGAACACAGCGAAATATTAATATAATTAATGAACTCGCTAACCTCGCTTTCCCTGCCGCTTTCAAAATGCTGTTTCAAACTCCATGGACCATTTTAGACGGCTAGAAATTTAAATACATAATTTTTTTTTTGACATATTCTGTGAAGTTATTTTCAGGTATTCATATTGTTCAAGTTTGATTTTTGATTTCATTTAGTTTTACTTTCAAAAACAAAACTGAGATGAACACAGACAAGACAGACTGTTACGTACGTGAACTTGTGTTTTGTTTCATTCGCACATGTTTAAGCAGTTCTTCAAACATGCTCAAAATGCTCTGTTCCACCTTGTGATGTCATAAAATGTAGTAGTACTTTTCAAGTCAACAGCCACAGTTTTCCTTTAGTTCAGTACAGATTGACAATTCCAAGGCTCAAATCATTCAACTGATTCTTCTGAAGCTGTATGGAGTTTAAAAACACAGTGGAGCACTTCCTTTATTACGGGATGACATCACAAGGTTGAACGGGGGGGGGTTGTGTTTGAGAGAAGAAATCATCAAACCATCCAGAAATTCTCTCCTCAAAACCTATTGTAAGATGAAAATTTTGATTATCTTTGCATTATGTTTCCTAATTTAAGGTGGAATTTAAGTGGTCCGCAACCTGCTTTTTTTCTCAAACCAATGTTCCGCAGTATTGCATTATGCATAGATACAGTATATGTTGAATGGGGACACTGCCGGGGCAAGTTACGAGTCAGATCTATGGAATGGCATGGTATTTTTGAGGAATTAAAAGCACCTGTAATAATAACATGCCATACTGTGGAACATTCCAGACAAAGCAACAACACAGTAAAGTTAATAAGTAGCTTTAATAAGTATTATAGGTAACTAATGACCAATCTGAACTGAAACTAACGATCTGCCTGGAGTGACCCTTGCTCTATTTTATGGGGCATAAAGTGTAAAACAGACCCTAAACACTGGAAATATACAGAGTAGAACGTCGGTCTGTGACAAAATACAAATTAAATACATAGTAAATAGTATAAGTAAATATAAGTAAATATAAATAAATATATACGGCACTGACACAAAAAGCCAAGAGCAGATTTAAGCCATAAAATTATTATAAATCTACAATATTATTAAAATAACTAGTAGAATAAAACACTTTTGTATCTGTAATGAATCATAGAAGTTATTTATTCCATTTTTTTTTTTACAACTTAAAGCTGCACTGTGTAATATTTCTAGAGGCGGGTCTACTTGGGTCTGCTTGTTTCCATGGAGATGTCGTCTTGCTTTTAAAAAAAACATCTCAAGAAATTTATGTTAACCAAACAACTCACCCTTGGATAATACTCCCTACAACTGTACAAAAACTTGCACTTATGTAACAGATAATACTCCCTACAACTGTACAACAACTCACCTGTATGTATCAGATAATACTCCCTACAACTGTACAACAACTCACCTGTATGTAACAGATAATACTCCCTACAACTGTACAACAACTCACCTGTATGTATCAGATAATACTCCCTACAACTGTACAACACGCCCTTATGTAACAGATAATACTCCCTACACCTGTATAACAACTCACTCTTATATAAGAGATAATACTCCCTACAACTCCCTACAACTGTACAACAACTCGCCCTAATGTAACAGATAATACTCCCTACAACTGTACAACAGCTCACCCTTATGTAACAGATAATACTCCCTACAACTGTACAACAACTTGCATTGATGTGACAGATAATACTCCCTACAACTGTACAAAAACACACACTTATGTAACAGATAATACTCCCTACAACTGTACAACTCACCTTTATGTAACAAATAATACTCCCTACAACTGTACAAGCAGGTTACAGCAGTACACTACATTACAGTTCAGCTCTGTGGAGAGGCAACCCTATTCACGGAAGAAAACGGTCGTAATGAATAAATGCTAAATGGAAATGTTTAAAGTCAAACCATGGGACATTCCAGGCAAAGCAATAACCTCTCCATGGAGACAAGTACATAGCGGGCAGTTGCACAGTGCACCTTTAAATCTTATCTTATAGCCAAAAATGAACCAAAAATGTCGCAGTAGTGTAAAGAAAATAAATAATAAATATTGATCCGCCCAAAAAGTACTGTTGCAGCTTTCATACATTGAACAATAACTTGATTCTTAATTATCGTGACAAGTCTTTTTGTTTAGAATAAACAAACCTCGAATGTGAGGGAGGGGTATCCGACCATCCCCCCGAGCCACTGAAGAGATTTGTTTATGAACTCCAGAATGGCCAAAAAGGCGATGAGATTGGCAGCGATGTTTGCACAGAGACCGATGGACGCGGACGCTCCACTGCTGGCGGCTTCCAGAATATTCTGCTCATTTCTGCGTAAACAAAAAACAATCATATTTTAACTACACATTCTATTAATTACAGGAAATTGACTCTTGTGAGCTTTAGAGGTGAAGCATGTAACTTTTCTGGTAGAGGGCTCACCAGTTGCTTGTTTCCATGGAGATGTTATTGCGTTGCCTGTAATTTTCCAAAGTATGGCATTAAACTTATCAGTCTCCGTAGCAACAAGCAAAAGATCCCACCAGGGAAATTTACAAATGAGATCTGTGAAGTGGTGACGCATGTTTTTAAAGGTATTTTTGAGAAATAAAAACACCCATAACTGAATAAATGCATTACAGGTGAAGCAATAGCATCTCCATGGTGACGGACCTCTAACTCAAAAAGTTACACAGTGCACCTTTAAGCTTCGTTAGAATGTTGCTGCCTCATCAAAAAACAGACCTGGAGTTGTGTTTTGTTTTGTTTTGTTTTGTTTCATTCACTCACTCATGTTTGAGTAATCTTTTAGTATTAGTCTGTCTACATCTCCAAACCTCAAAATGCCCTGTTCCACCTTGCATTTAATGGTAGTGCAGTGCCCTGAAAATGAATGATGGCTATTTCTCCTGTACTCACACATTTGTAATCACCTGATGTGTGGTTATTTTTGTTTTGAAGAAGACGAACCTAATTTGAATTGTATGTTCAGTGTTAGAAACTGAGCACTTATATGTTCTGAATGTAAACATTTTTTGCCATTCCATTATTTTAGTGGGGGAGGGTGTAGTGCAATACTAAATTCATTTTTAATTTAAATTGCTAAAAAAAATGCATTTGATATAAATACAAATTTAATGGATAATATTCTTTATTTTATCATTTCACTGTACTTGTGTAATAACAGGGTCTTTATCGTTACTTTAGGAATGTGAGACTCAAAGGCTTATGGGAAAAGCGCATTGATTTGTTGTTGTGAAGAAGCAGAAAAATGAAAAATACTTGTTAACAAACGAACTGAAATCTGAAATTAAAAGTTGCCCAAAAGCTAAAATGAACGCGAGTCGTGTCGGTCATTTCAGGGGTGCAACAGTAGTTTTTAAGTTAACTGCTCCTTTTACCTTTTGGGCAATTTCAGGGACTGAAATTATCCAGATTATTCTCAGTTTTCAGTTTCTCAGACTAAAGATGCAGGGTTTGTGTGTTAAACGTGTGAATGAAACAAAACACAACTCGAGGTCTGTTTGTGATGAGGAAACAACATTATAACACAGATCAGAGAAATAAAAAGCGTGATACGGGCCCTTTAACACATTAATATAAAGTGCACATACCCACAATCCACTTTAATGTTCTTGTCAGATTTGAAAACACTCTCCTCTGTTTCTGGAAATGACAGTTTGGAGATGGCCAGCGCACACGGAGCCGCCATCACAGACGCCGAGATCAGGGAGGAGGCGTCAATCTGGAAATAAATGAACAGAGAAAAGAGTCATGGTTAATACTATAGAAATAGAAAAGTTGCTGTTTTTGTTTCCCTAATCCTCACTTTATGTATGGGAATATGTTTTGGCACCACTGACCACCTTATGAATCTGGGTCCATTGCAGCACTTTGTCAAACCTTCTGTCATCAACCTTGGTGTTACTATTGACAGTGATTTTAAATTTGAAAAATTAGTGAACACAGTCGTCAAATATGGCTTTTATCATTTGCAGTAAAACCATTTTTATCTTTTAATACTTTTGAACAGGTCATGCATACTCTTATCTCCTCTCATTTAGACAACTATAATGCACATTTTTCTGTCACTATGCACAGTTGGTCTAAAATTTTGCAGTGTGACTTTTAACTGGAAGCAAAAAACACGAGCACATTACTCCGATTTTAGTGCCATTGCACCAGCTTCCAGTTCGTCTTACAATTGATTTTAAGATTTTATTGTTTGTTTTAAAGCTTTGAATGGACTAGCCCCATGTTACATCTCAGATCTCTTTCGAATTTACTTCTCTGAGCGCACTCTGAAGTCTGAGGTCCAGCTCCAGCTCGTGGGGTCCGGGACAAAACTTAAAACCAGGGGGACAGGACCGTCTCTGTGACTGACCTTAAACTCTGGAACGCTCTGCCCCTCCACGTCCCAACAGCCCCCACCATGGAGAGATTTAAGTCTCGTCTTAAGACCCACTTTTATTCTCTGTCTTTTAACACCCTGTGAGTTGTGTGGTCCTCTGTGTCTTTTATTTATTGGTATTTTTTAAATTTATTGATATTCTTGCTCTTATTTGACTAGTTTTATTGTCTTTACAAGGTCTAGTGGAGTTAAGTAGAGGTTTATTTTATACTTCTATTGGATATGTTTTATCTGTATTGTGCAGCACTTTGGAAACTGTTTTGTTTATGAAATGTGCTATAGAAATAAAAGTGGATTGGATTGAATAGATCTTGTTATGAAAACCTTTAGAGCAGGTATGTCCAAACTATGGCCCGTGGGCCAAATGCGGCCCTCAGACAATTTTTTCTTGGCCCTCAGGCTTCCAGATGAATTGGTCCAAATTACCTTGCATTTGCATTGCACATTTTACTGCAAGTCTTTTGAAAATCTACCTTGATAAAGCCAGAATTTAATAATTAGTGTGCAGCTTTAAGGATCTTAGCATGAATAAAGGACTGATGGCTCATTCCAATGTGTTAAACATGCACATATTTCAATTATTCACTGTACTGAGCACCAGTCTACAGCCCTCGATCGGCCCTCTGCTTCATCTGTGTTTAGATATGTGGCCCTTGATGAAAAAAGTTTGGACACCTCTGCTTTAGAGAATCCATACTGCCTATACATGACTAAGGTAACAGGGTAACATATGGTAGCATAAAGTAACATGTTTAAATTGGAAATGCGCCCTCTGGTGGCATCATCAGGGAGTGTGAACCTGAAATGTATCCAAATGAGAGACTCATAAAAAATAAACATATGCAACCCACATTTAGTACAGAGACTTTTATTTTGGCGGGTCTACTTCCTGTTCTGCTGCCCCGAACATTCCAGTTCCTTTAAGTTCACGCAGTTTATTTCCCCTTGGTGTCCAGCAAACTTTATACAAAGCACTGGAACTCTCTAAAACTACGCATTTCACTCAGCATTTTAAGCGTCTCTGTACATGTTTACCAATCTGGTCGTGGAAAACAAGATCTTTTTTTTTGTAATGGATGGAGTCCACTTTCAATGGACTATGACAAATCTCAACTCAACAAACCACCAGATGTCGAGTTGAAACAACTGTGCTGTAAGACAAACTGTTTCCCATTTCTTCGACAGCTTCTTGAACCATGAAATTGCGACTCTCGAGCTGTGGATTAGTGATTGCGATTTTCAAACTATGGATTATACACTAAACACTGGTGAAGAAAAACTGTTTATTTTTGTTTAAAAGACTCAACTTAATCCACCCCCAAAATTGAGATTTGAACTTTTGTGTTACTTTTTTCTTGTTTATAATTTAATTTGCCTTTCCTCTTCAATACACATATAGAATAACTACAAATCCTGTTGTTTATTTCTCATTCACACCTCGAGCTTCTTCAAAGAAACACTCTTCTGTTCCCACTAATATTCTTAGCCGCAGTCGTGTTGCTTAGACTTAAATCAGTGGTACATTTGGTGAGCTAGCCAGGAGCCTGATCGTGTGGATGACTCATATCGTTCATATCATTGTGTTGAATTAATTTGTGAAAAAGTTGGTTGAGTTGAACCGTGGATTATTTTGGCAAGACATACGCACTTTAACGCCATCTCTTACCCCTAATGAAACATGACACTTACTATGATGCTGGCGACCCCCTCCGTACATGTTTAACTCAACAGACCACCAGATGGCGAGCTAAACAACTGTGCCATAGGACAAACTGTTTCCCATTTTTTTCCGCCGCTTCTTGAACCGTGAAATTGCGAATCTCAAACTGTGGATTATATACTGAATTCTTGAGAGAAACTGTTTATTTTTGTTCAAAAGACTGAAAATTGAGATTTGAACTTTTGTGTTACTTTATTCTTGTTTATATTTTAATTTGCCTTTCCACTTCAATACACGTATATAAGAACTACAAGTCCTGTTGTTTATTCTTCATTCACACCTTAGGCTCCTTCAAAGAACTACTCTTCTATTCCCGCTAATATTCTTAGCCGCAGTCATGTTGCTGAGACTCAAATCAGCATTATATTTGGTGAGCTAACCAGGAGCCTGATCGTGTGGATGACTCATATTGTTCATATCGTTGTGTTGAAGTAATTTGCCCAAAAGTTGAGGTGAACCATGGATTATTTTGCAAAGACATACGCACTTTAACGCCATCTCTTACCCCAAATGAAATAAACACCCCCACAACACTTCTTGCGATGGTGGCGAACCCCTCCGTACTTGTTTACCAATTGGGTCGAGTCCACTTTCAATGAACTATAGCAAATCTCAACTCAACAGACCACCAGATGGCGAGCTAAACAACCGTGCCATAGGACAAACTGTTTCCTATTTTTTTCGCCACTTCTTGAACCGTGAAATTGCAACTCTCAAAATGTGGATTATACACTAAACTCTGGTGAAGAGAAACTGTTTATTTTTGTTTAAAAGACTCAAATTATTTCCCCCCAAAATTGAGATTTAAACTTTTGTGTTACTTTTTGCTTGTTTATAATTTAATTTGCCTTTCCGCTTCAATACATGTATATAAGAACTACAAATACTGTTGTTTATTTCTCATTCACACCTCGGGCTTCTTCAAAGAACTACTCTTCAGTTCCCACTAATATTCTTAGCCACAGTCGTGTTGCCTAGACTTAAATCAGTGGTACATTTGGCGAGCTAGCCAGGAGCCTGATCGTGTGGATGACGCATATCGTTCATATCATTGTGTTGAATTAATTTGTCAAAAAGTTGAGCCATGGATTATTTTGCAAAGACATACGCACTTTAACATCATCTCTTACCCCAAATGAAATAAACGCCCCCATGACACTTCCTGCGATGGTGGCGAACCCCCCGGTCATCACAGAGTGGATCTCAGACTTGGTCATATCTTTCAAATAGGGCCGGATCAGCAGAGGGGCCTCAGTCTGAAAAACACAAGCTCATCAGAAGTGTCTAGTGTCCTTCTGGAGGATCATAAAAGTACAGGACAAAGTACAGAGAGACTCATAAAAACACCAGACAGACAGACAGTTGAAATGACCATACCTGTCCCACGAAGATGTTTCCAGCAACGCTCAGGGTCTCAGTGGGAGAGGTCCCCATGGTCACCTGCATCACCCACGAGATCTGCGAGAACATAAACAGCAGATAAAACCATGACAATTATGAAGACTACAGACAAATGTGGGGAGAAAAGAGTGGTCAAAGTAGTTCTTGGTGTTTTTAGAATACATATTAAGTAAAGGCAACTGAAGGGTGCACTATGTAACTTTTTGACTAGTCCGTCACCTGCTTGTTTCTATGTCATTGCTCTGCCTGGAATGTTCCACAGTATGACATTAAGCAGTTCTACTTTACATTTAATAAATTGCATGTGATTTTATAGCTCAAAAATACCTAGGAAAACAGACATTCTGACTGTGAGCGGGGTCAACTCTCCACAGATCTGACCTGTAACTTGGTCTGATTTGGTCTCCATGAAGATAGAAAAGTTTAATGCCATAATGTGAAATACTCCAGATAAAACAATAACATCTCCTTGGAGAAAAGCATTTGACAGACTCTCCACCAGAAAAGTTACACAATGCACCTTTAAATAAAAGTATTAAAGTACTTGTTTAAAAATGTACTGAAAGAGTAAAGTAAATCAAAGTATTTTGTGCATATTTTTGAGGTCTAATAAAGCTTCAAATGTTGTAGATTTATGCTGAACTTGTGAAATTTTGTGCAGAAATCTGTTTTTGTTTATTATTGTTTGCAAAAAAAAAATTACACAATGCTCCTCTAACTACTAGTCAAAAGTTTGGACACACCTTATTTTTCAATGTATTTTTCTTTACGTTTCCTACTTTCTACACATTAAATACACACAGAAGACACCAAATATATAAAGCACAATATATGGAATTATGTAGTTAAAAAGTTAAACAACTCTACCAAATATTTCTTTTTGTATTAAAATCTTTAAATTATCCACCCTTTGTTTTGTCAACAGAGCTGCAAACCCTTTGCCTTCTCTCAGTGAACTTCTTGATGAAGTTTCCTGAAATAGTTTTCACTTCACAGCTGTGCCATGTCAGGGTCCAGAAATGCAAAAAGTGAGCCAATGCCATGTTGTAAAAGGCTGTAATTAAACTACAATGTAAATAATCATGGACATAAAGAAGAAAAATAAATGAAAAAGTGTTTCCAAACTTTTGACTGGTGTGTAACTCTTCTCATCAATTACACAAAAATAAAAACGCAAAGTAGCTGAGCAGGCTCTTTGTTGTGCTTTGCTGTTTCTCTGCTGCACTTTTCTGGACTGAGAGGTCTGATGTTTCTCCTTATTCATCTATTTATTTGTTTATTTCATTCATAAAGTATAAAAAAATACATTAACAGTGCCCTAATGAAATGAAAGAAAAGGAGCAGAAAGAAGAATCATCTTATGTTATCTGCCCTCTTTTCCCTTGTCTAGACAACACATTAACACTGATGGTTAACACTTTAAAATACTTCTGGGTTTGGACGGTTGCTGCCTTCACCTTCCAGCTCCAGCTCCTCTCTGAACCTTTCTTCTATTTCTCTATTTCTTTTTTCCTGATGTTGAAATCACTTGGTGTTGCAAAATCAACCACACAGGCTTTCCTCTGCTGTCTGTCCTCCACCACAGTGTCTGGTTCACCATCGCCGCTCAGTCTGTCTGTGTCTGGAGTCCTTTATATAAAAGTTCCAGTGACTTCCATGAACTACTGTATTGATTCTTTGCAGTGACATCAGGCTGGGGGTTTTCTACATGTGTCTCTTTTGGTTAGCAGTTACTACAATGACACAATGCACACATTAGCAAAGATGGCATCAGCTGCAACGTATAAATTTTGGTATTCACCTTATTCCACTGTTGTCTCTAAATGCTCCTAAGCCGCTCTTTTTTCCCGGTTAAACGAGAATCCCATTCACGTCAATAGAGAATTTGAGAAAAGTTTTGCGTCTTAAACATGACATAAAGTCGGTTCATTTGTGTAAAATGTTAAATTTTCATGTGCACCAACAATTCACACTGCACTGATTCTCTGGAGGCTTTAAAACAGCTTTATCATCTGTACTGAACTTATTTATGGTCAAGATCAGCCCCATACAAAATCATGAATAGAACAAACAGAACTGCACAGGTTCAAAACTATACAACATAAATTACCTACATTGTCATATTTTGTAAGACTCACCAAGATTTTACCCAAAGATTATCTGTAAACAATTTTGTGATGGAAATTCATATTGTGGAAAGACTTTTCTCAATCTGTCTTTGTGGAAATTGATGTGATTTCTTCCTGAGACCGAAATTTATCATTGACATGTGTAAAGGTTCAGCAGACACAACTGTCTGCACACACAGGAAATGGTGTATTGTCTTAGCTGTCCTCAAATGTATGTTCATTTAGCACCAGCCTCTGAAACAAAAGTCACTCTGCTTTGATATGTATGTAACTTGTATTTCTGTACAAATACTCAGAGCTCAGATGTTCTGGGGCAGATACTTGGGCTGTAACAAGAATAAACCTCGGTCTGTATTCCAAAAACTCATCGGGCTTTGCAAATGGATTAATTATTTGTCATCAGGAGATATATATTACTTTTTCCACAACAATTCCAAAGACGTGTGAGCGCTCACCTTTAGAATGACCCACTGCATGATGCCCAGGAAGTACAGGATGGACATGACGCTGCTGAAGAAAACGATGATGGGCAAAGCCTGGACAAACACAACAACAACGAGTACTTATAAAAGCGTACAGATGCTGATTTACATGATACAGGAACTGTCCTACTGTGTTTTTAAACTCCATACACACTTATATATACACACACACACACATATGGATGATTTCAGCTCTGGAATTGCCGATCTGTACTGAACTAACGCTAAAAGGAGCTGTTCGCTTCAATACTACTACTTCACATCACAAGGTGGGACAGAGCATGTTGAGCTTTAGAGGTGCAGACAGATCAATAATAAAGCTTTACTCAAACTTTTACATTTACATTTGATTCACAGACAATAACATTATTTTAGATACTCACTTGAAATGCAAAGATATTCGCTATGAGATCTCCAAAAACAAACGACGATCCCGCTTTGGTGTAATCCAGGAATATCTGCAAATAGAAAAGTGATAATCATAGACACAGTGTTCAGCTCCAGTCAAATGAAGCTCATCGAGGCATGCAGTTAAAGAGTGAAATCTTATAGCGCAGTTAGGAATTTATTTACGGACAAAATAGCAAAATAAAAACGCAAGGATCATGTAGCGCAGGTTAATACGAACATTTTAAGACCAAAATGAGAAGCCTAAAAGCAGCTGTAACAGTGAGAGAGAGGACATTTTTTCCTTAGAAAGTGAATTGGAGCCAGAGTCAATGGAGCCACTCACTTCCCATCATATGTCTACGATGATAACCAGAGGTGGAACCAAGTCATTGTTTTGCAAGTCTTTGACCTCAAGTCCAAGTCAAGTCCCAAGTCAAATACAGGCAAGCCCAAGTTGAGTCTCGAGTCACTGGCCCATAAGTCCACGTCTTAGTCCAAGTCATCTGCTTTGAGCTTCAAGTTATTTCAAGTCTTTAAACCAAAATACCAAATATAGTTTAGATTTTTGCAATTTGTATGACTTTTAAGATAAATTGTACTTATAAAGTCATGGTATATTTATATATGAGTATTTATAGAGTAGATAAGAGTTGTAGAAATGCACATTTTTCCTTTTTAAATGTCATGACAAGATCTTAGAATGAATCATTACAGTCAGAATAGAATAAATTCAGATGTAAAAGTGCTTCTCAAGTCACAGACCTCAAGTCCAAGTTAAGTCCCAAGTCTTAGTCCATTTTATCAAGTCAAGCCTCAAGGCCTAAAAATAGTGACTTAAGTCTGACTCGAGTCCAAGTCATGACTTGCATGTCCCCAGCTGTGGTGATTCAAGTTTCTAAATGCTAAAATCAGCTCGGAAATGTGGTTTCTGAGTAATCAGGATGAGCTGTCTTAAGCTTCTGATGAAATGTGTTAAAAATACTAAAAAAGACTATTTCAGTTCGTACCTTCACTTGGTCCCCGAGCCATTTGAATGCGACATTCCCCGGATTCGTTCTTATGACAAACAGACCAATACAGAACTGCAACCCCAAGCCCCAAAACACGGGTCTCCACTTCACCTGCAACACACATGAAGATAAAAATGAATTAATTTAACTAAACAAATAAAATAATAGCATATAATGTATACTCACGTGGGGACATTGCATTGACTGATTTATTAAATGTTAAATAAGAGTTGTTGTTGAAGCCTAAACCCAATTTATTTTTTGTTTGTTTTGTAATATTTTCATTATTGAGATAATTATTCCTATTTTGTTTGATTTAATATTTACTAGGAATGTAACAATAACTGAAATATCGTGATATCATATCGTCAAAAGTCTCACAATAATATCGTGGGCTGTCACAATATATTGAATCAAAAGTAAATGCAGGTTTTATAGTAGCAACAGCTTATTATAGTGCAGACAACATGAACAAGATTACTTGGTTGACTATTTGCTTAAGAAATAATTTGAACCATTTACATTTTTCTTTCAACTTACGTTAATCATAAGTTTACCTGAGTAATGTTTATGTTTTGTATTATTTTGAGGTTTATGGCTTCTTATTTATGACGAGTGTAGTGGAGCCAAACAGTTTTTTGACCTCCTGTTGCCCTTTACCTGTTAAAATTCCCCTTTTTGTTCATTTTGTTTGTCATCAACTATACATGAATCCTCAGCAAAGAGTTTTTAACTACGCTTGGATCGCTCACCATGGATTTATTTCACTTTTGATGCATTTTAAAAGGTGGAACAAGGTGCGCAAAGTGTCAAACTGTGGCTTCACAAATGTTTTGATCTTATTGTCGTGTCTGGCACAATAGCAAAAGCTTTGTAGATCCCGTACTGCTTATACATGAATAAGACAAGAATAGTAAAGTAACATGTTTAAATTGTAATTGCGCCCTCTGCTGGCACCAGTAGGAAGTGTTTTATAGACTGTTAGTCCAAAAGTCACTGGTTTTACTCCAGCTCATCCTCACGACACTTGCAATCAAGACAAACACAAGTAAATAAACTAATGGGGCTGATAACAACAGAGCATAAATGATCATCAGACAGAGAGGTGGATTGTGTGAATTTTCAATTCTTAAACACAACCCTCCCCCAGGCATCACAACAGGGATCTCAGGTATTACACTGACCATTTGTATAAAGAATTTTTCAACCTAAAACCCTAAAACGCATCATAAAGACAGATAATTCCCTTACACACACCGTCACTCGTATTTTGTCTTTTTATAACTTCAAAGCAGGCATGTCAAACTATGGCCCATGGACCAAATGCGGCCCTCAGACAAATTTTTCTTGGCCGTCATGCTTCCAGGAGAATTTGCCCAAATGACCAATGAAAAATTAACTTTTTATTGCAAGTTTTTTGAAAATCTACCTTGATAAAGCCAATATTTAATATGCAGTGTGTGGTTTTAAGGATCTTAGCGTGAATAAACGACAGATGGCTCATTGTAAATATGCTAAATATGTTAAATATGCACATATTTCAATGATTCACTGTAATGAGCACCAGTCTACGGCCCTCGATCGGCCCTCTGCTTCATCTGTGTTTAGATATGTGGCCCTTGATGAAAAAAGTTTGGACACCCCTGCTTTAAAGGGGCCATATAACGTTTTCCGATCTATGTTATAGTGTTGTTTCCTCATCAAAAAACAGACTTGGAGATGTGTTTTGTTTCATTTACACCTGCTTAAAACACAAACACTGCAGATTTAGACTGAGTTCTTCTCTCAGACCGAAAACATGTTCCACATTGTGATGTCATGTGTTAATACAGAAAGTTCTCCACTATGTTTTTTTTAATTTTTATTCCATACACCTTCACTACAATAATTTGGATGATTTCAGCGCCGGAGTTGCCAATCTCTTCCGCATTAAAGATAAAACAGGTCCATAAAAAAACAGAACGAATGGACTACAAAACAGTTTTTATCCAACAGCCATTATTTCACTAAACGGTGTTATCAAAGCGTAGTTGTTTTTTTTTACATTTTACATTTATGTAACGTGGAGGTTTATCGTTGGGATCTTTGTGGGTGTGTGAGGTTTTCATGTACTTTTAAGAAATGTTAATTGAGACTCTATTTATCTTTATCTTTTATTATTTATTGCTACCTTTGCACTGAACGAGGAGTGCGCTTAATTTTGTTTTATCTTTTACAATGACAATAAAGATATTCTAAAACGTCGCTATTAACTTGAAAATTTCCTGCTGACATGACATCACAAGGTGGGACAGAGCATTTTGAGCTTTGGAGACGTAGACAGACTAATAAAAATGATTGCTTAAGCATTAGGGACGCAACAATAACCGAAATATCATGTTATCGTATCGTCAAAGTTCTGGACCATCACAATATATTGACTTAAGTCTCTTTAAGAGTTATGGTGCAGCAATAGAAAAAAAAAAAAAAAAAAGACAGAGGGAATTACATAGAGCATGATCTTTTGCTCCATTTCAGTGCAGACTACCTGAAGAAATAACAGTTCTAAGCACTTTTAAGTCTTTGGATTAAGTCTTGTCGAGGCATTTTAAGAGGAAAAAGTTGCATATTCACAGTTTTGTTCACAAAATATTGCAATAAATATCGTATTATGAGACTCGGATATCGTTAAACTCTTATTAAACTTGCATAAATGAAATGAAACACAACTTCAGGTCTGTTTTTGAGCAGGTAACGGCATTAGAACCTGGTTTAAAGCTCACAAGAGTCAGTTTTGTGTAATACAGGACGTTTAACTGTGACTTGATCGTATACAGTAGTACGGTGTATGTGTGGGGGACTAGTAGGGTCAGTGCTGTTATTCCAAGGCAGCACTTCAGGTAACACTTATGATGACACAGACCAAGGCCAGGTGATATGGAGTCACTCAGCAGTCCGCACTGATAAGCCCTGATAAGAGACATGTGGGACTTATACTTATTGACTACAGTCCTGTGTGTGTGTGTGAGAGTGTAACCGTAAAGGGCCATTATACTTTTTCCTCTGTTACAGTATTGTTTCCTCATCACAAACATATGATCTATACTCGTGGGGATGATTAAATGTTATGTAAGAGTCAGTTTCGTAATTTTTGTAATATTTTCATCAATGAGACAATTATTCCTATTTTGTTTGATTTAACATTTACTTAAAAGGTATGATTTTTTGGGTAATTTTGGTCATTCTTTGCCATACAGGGCAGGGGTGTCAAACTCAAATTCACAGAGGCCAAAATTAAAAACTGTGACTAAGTCGTGGGTCAGACTAAATATTTATTGAAACATTTCAGCAGCATATTTGTTTTCTCTTCTTTCGAGATATGTAATAAACCTTTTCTTATTAAAATAAATGTTTAATAATAGTTTTGCTTAAACATTGAATCCAGAACAAGCAAAATATAAAATAATCACACAATTTTAAATAAATAATGTCTCTATAGTCTATCTGTAGCCGGTGGACCAGCTCTAATACAGATTTGATATGATCTCGCGGGCCAAATATAATTATATTGCGAGCCAAATTTGGCCCCTGGGCCTGAATTTGACATGTCTGGTATAGGGGTTATACTTATTGACTATTCTGCTGTTTGTGTAAAGGGCCATATTACACTATTTTCAGACCTCTGTTACAGTATTGTTTCTTCATCACAAACAGACCTGGAGTTGTGTTTTGTTTTTGTTTTTTTCAACCCTGCAGATTTAGGCTGAGTTCTTTTTTCAAACTGAAAACGCTCTATTCCACCTTGTGATGTCATGAGATAATACAGGAATTAAATCAAAATGTTTGAAACAATACCAACTGGAAAGTGTGGATGATTGATAAATGTCAAATATAAAGAAGATTTATGGTTCACACAGGTGAAAGAATGATTAGGGATCAATAATCAAAATATCATGATATCTTATCGTCAAAGATCTCACAAAAATATCGTGGACTATCACAGTATTTCGAATTACAAGTCAAAACAGACAAAAAACTGACAGAACTACATAGACCATGATCCTTTGCTCCATTTCAGTGCAGACTATATGATGAAATAAAGCACTTTTATATAAGCACTTTTAAATCTTTTGGATTAAGTCTTGTCAAGGCATTTTAAGAGAAAAAAAGTTGAGCATTCACAGTTCTGTTTGCCTCCACAAAATATCACAAAAGATATCATATTATGAGATGGATATGGAAAAAATATCGTACAGAGAGATTTGGAAATCGTTACACCTCTAGATATGATAGAATAGTTTTTGATAAAAGTGAAAAAATGCCGAGCACACTCAGATGGTCGATGTCCAAAAGCCCTTTTCATTCCTAAACAACATTTCAGCAAAAAATGCCTCTGTCATTTTATTTTTTTTTCTCACTTTGGACCAGAGGACAGTAGAATTTTTCTTCATATCTGCTACTTTCTAATCATGGAAACACCGTCTTTTACGTACATTTACATTATGTATCGTTATTTATTATACTACTCTACATTTTCATGAGAGAAACAAATAAAAATAAATAAATAAATAAATGAAATTAAATGAAAATGAAGTGCTGAAGTGTTTTTAAACTCCATACACCTTCAGTAGAATGATTTGGGTCATCATTTTGAGTTTGGCCCTGAAATTGACAATCTGTACTGTACTTAAGTAAACATTTTCAGTATCTGTACTTTACTTTACTTAAGTACATTTTAAAGTTCAGTTTTTTTTTACTTTTACTTCACTACATTTGAGAGCAGGTGTCTGTACTCTCTACTACACTACATTTTTGAACAGGACTGAAAAGTAAAAGTATTTATACTTTTTTTTTTAAAGTTGATTTTTTTTTCCACTTTTACTTCACTACATTTGAGAGCAAGTATGTGTACTTTCTACTTCACTACATTTTTGAACAGGAGTGAAAAGTAAAAGTATTTATCATTATTTTTTCATGCCATACTTTTACTTGTGTATTTTTTGCTCTGTACTCTTTAAGTAACAAAATTGAGTACTTCTTCTTCCACTTCATGATTCAAACATGTGTGAATGAAACAAAACACAACTCCAGGTCCGTTTTTGACGAGGTAACCACATTTTAACACGACTAAAACCTCACAAGAGTAAATTTTGCGTTTACTGTAGGACCTTTAGTTTCTCACTCACCGCCGTCCTGTGCGCCGAGCAGAGGAAAATGAGGATGACAAACATACACACTCCCCCCAACGAGATGAGCTGCTCGGGACGTTCGCTGGTGTCTATGGCGATCCACACCACGAACAGCACCACCACCAGCAGGATGAAGGCCCTGCAAAACACATAAACACACATAATCGTACTCTATGGTGGAATGTTCAGCGGTTACCATGGTGACACAATGCACATATAAGCAAACGCTGTCGGAAAAGTTTTAAGATTGTCTGAAAACTCGAGAAAGAATACAAAATGGATTTAAATAACAAATTTAAGGAGTCATATTTACTGTAGTCTAAGCTCCGATCCACCTTGTGATGTCATGTGATACTACAGGAAGTGCTCCACTGTGTTTTTAAACTTTATACAGGTACTTTTACTTAAGTAGATTTTTCAAAGTGTGAAAACTTGAGTGTTTCTTTGCTCCAGTATCTGTACTTTTACCTAAAGGCGTATTGTGTAACTTTTCTGGTGGAGAGTCTGTCAAATACTTTTCTCTGTGGAGATGTTATTGCTTTGTCTGGAATATTTCACAGTATGGCATTAAATCTTTCTAAGCACAAACCAGACCAAGTTACAGGTCAGATCTTTGGAGATGCGACCCCGCTCACAGTCAGAATTAATGTGGTATTTTTGAGTGTTTAAACCACCTGTAATTTAATAAATGTAAGGTAGATCTGTTTAATGCCGTACTGTGGAATATTCCAGGTAGAGAAATGCCGTATCCATAGAAACAAGAAGGTGACGGACCCTCAACCAGAAAAGTCACACAAAGCACCTTTAAGGAACTGTACAAAAAAAATAAATAAATAAAAAAATAAAAACAACTATAATGAACATGCTTGCAGAATTTCCATCGATAATTTCCAAAAAATTATGGTGAATTTTTACAAACTTAATAAATGAAACTCTGCTCCTTCAGTTTTGTAGCTTAAAATTGAGGAAAATCTGCTGAAAATGAGCTCTTGACGGGTGAGAAAGCCGAGAATATGAAATCCAATAAATGCATTCCAAATTTCGGACTTCCGATCATTACGCAATTCATACTGGGAAGGATTTCCGAAAAAATGAGCATCAAACCTCCATGTTTGATTTCCCAGCGGGATGTATCTATTGACAAAGTTGATCTTTTCAAGTCTTTTGAACCATATTACTTTTGTTTTTGATTCTGATATTGTCATATTTTAGCTTTGGGATACGGACATTGTTAATTGTGTGGTTTTTGGATGTCCTAACTGCAGAAATGGGCTTCAGGAAGTTTTCAAACTCCATAAATGCAAATGGGAATCAGATCTGTGTGACTGCAAACGGAACTGAAAAATTGTGAAAGGTGAAGGCGATGGACAGGATTGATCCACAGGAAGGACCAAAAAGGAAAGATTTGTTCGCAGCAACCTCGGGCTGATTTCTTGGGCAGTCATTTTGTATGTGGAGCACCATCAAAGCAAAATCCCGAACCCTCGCTCAACCTTGGTTACGAATTTAAAAAGTCAACGCCAAAGCGAAAGACACCAGCTGTTTGCCAAAACATCTTCCACTGCAAAGAGACCAAGACGTGATGTTGCTGTAAAGTCGAAAAAGAAAGTGCGAGCTCAGTCTGTTTGTCTTCTGCACCTCTCGCTTAACAAACGGGATTTTGCATTGATGATGCTCCACATACAAAATATTCACTGCAAACTGGGGATGATTTCTTAATCAGCCAAAGGTTTCCTTTTTCGTCCTTCCTGTGTATCAAACCTGCCCATCACCTTCACCTTTCACTATTTTTCTGTTCCTCTGGGAAGGGAAACAGTTTGAACAGAGGTTTGCAGTCACACACATCTGATTCCCTTTTGCATTCATGGAGTTCTCAAACAAATTTCTCGAGCCGTTTTCCGCTGTTAGGATCCAACAACCACACAATTACGATGTCTGAATCCCAAAACTAAAATATGATGATATCAGAACCAGAAACAAAAGCGATATGGTTCAAAAGACTTGAAAAGATCGACTTTGACAATAGACACATCCCACTGGGAAAACAAACATGGAGGTTTGATGCTCACTTTTTCGAAGGATCCTTCCCAGTATGCATTGCGCAATAACCGGAAGTCCAAAATTCGGGAGGCATGTATTGAATGTTGTGATAATGTGTCCTAAACTGTGCTCATTTACTCTGCTGATAAAAGCCTGTGTTTCCTCTCGTCAGCTCATTATTCACTCGTTTCATTTCCATGACATATCCATAGAAACAAGCAGGTGATGGACCCTCGACCAGAAAAGTCACACAGTGCACCTTTAAGTAACAAAATCGAGCACTTCTTCCACCACTGACCATTTGATCCATTTGAAGTAGGAGCTCAAGCAGCTGACCACAGGCTCAAAGCAGCTCTTGATGCTGTCGCCCTTGTACTCGTACAGGAGCCCTAGAGACTTGATGACGATCGCCAAACACGTGAGCACCACTAGAGCCGTCGCCCTCTTCAGGTCCAACACACACGCTGCGATGAAGTACGCCACATAACCTGCAAGAAGCATGTTTTAGAGGTCCTTTATTACACAAAATTGACTCGTGTGAGCTTTAAGTCATGTTATAATGCTGTTACCTCCTCAAAAACAGACCTGGAGTTGTGTTTTGTTCAGTGCCAGAGTTAGCAATTTGGAGGCCCTAGTAGAATTTGAGTTTGGGGCCCTCGCTGTAATGCATACTTTTTTTTTCCTAGTCCTGGTTCAGTCCTGGTTCAGTCCAGCATCGCAGTTTAAGTCACGAAAACAAGAAACTGCCGTTATCCGTTTTTTGCATTATTATTTTAAACACATAATTGAAAACCTGTTTTTCATTTTTGTTTTGGAGATATATAATGAAGAAAATCGTTTTTTTCGTTTGGTTATTTTTGGTTTTATTTTGAAAAACCAATGAACAAATGATATACGGATTCTGGAGTTTGTTTTGTTTCTATAACTGTCGCAGGACATTAAAAATAACTCATTTTCTTGTCTGATTTGAAGCTCCACAGACGGGAGAAGCAGCGTTTTGACTTTGCAGATGTTGACGGTAATGCAGGCCTCAACGTGACCGAGTGAAAAGAATGTCATTTAGAATAGAATGTGTTTTTAACATTAAATGGTAGTACTTTCTTTTCAATTCCCATGTGGTCTTATATCTGTGTAATCCCTCTGTGGTCCATGGATTTATACTAGTCTATGTGCTCTTATACTTGTTCTGATACAGCTCCAGATCATTCTCAAGCTATTCAGGAAAGTTTATTTCTGTGCTGTGAATGTCTTTGTATCTTAGTCTTATATGTCTTAATATTTAGTCCAGGGGTCTCCAATGTGTCACTCGGGAGCTACTAGTAGCTTCCAAGTAGCCCCTTCCAAGTAGCTCACAAAGGGATTTTTTAATTATATGTACTGTGCATAATGAGTAAAATGCGATTAATTACCATTGTAAATGTATCATTTTTATGCCTGCCTTGGTGCACTGATAAATGGATGATGGTTTATGTTTTATAAACATCTAACTGTTCCCCATCTAAGGCTCGTCGTGGCTCTTATATTTACTCCTTTTGTTTGGGACATCTGAAATTGGTACAGTAGCTCTTTGGCATTTTCATTTTGTAAAGGGAGCTCACTGGAGAAAAAAGGTTAGAGACCCTTGTTCGAGTGTATTCTGGTTCCTGACCTAGTCACTGGAGAGAAATGAAATTGAGCAGAGGCACTAGGTGGTGCCTAGAATCACCAATTGCTACTAAACTAAAGCTAAAAGGAGCTGTTACCTTGAAAACTACCAATTCACGACTTCACAAAGTGGAAAATATACTCTATGGGGTGTGGAGTATGGAGTATTTTGAGCTTTGGGAATGTAGACAGACTAATCACAAAGATTACTGAAACATGTGTGAATGAAACAAAACACAACTTCAGGTCTGTTTTTGAGAAGGAAACAACATTATAACATGACTAAACACTCTCAAGAATCCATTGTGTGTAACATAAAACCTTGAACGTGAACATTACCTGCTCCGAGAATGCCTAGAATTACGTATTTGAAGGTTTGCGAGTGAGCCCTGACATAATCCTCTGTAGCATTAAGAGGCTTGGAAACCTTGCTGCAGGAAAGAGAGAAAAAAAGAAAGTTCACTCAGCACATTTTTACGATCATGTGTGAGTACATGTGTGAGTCAGCCACTTTTTATCTTGTTTATAAAATTACTTTACGACGCGTTGCCATTATTACCATGGCATTATATTGACAAGGTATTTCCACCTTAAAAGATATGAACTTCTGACCTTATATGACTTAATCACCCTCCCCTAAAACTATTACAAATGATGCATCAACAAATTTGCATCAACATAGTATAACAACATAATAACAAGAAGTAATGACGACATTCTAAGATTAAACATGCAAACTGGGAAACAACAGCTTAATTTCCAAACATTTGCTCAGGTTTCTTGTAAGTACGGATAGAATTCAGACATTACTAAATGTTTTGTGCAATATAATTACATATGGTGTAATTTTTCGTGGTTTCTGACTCACCTCACGTACGACTTAAAGTTTTTCCCTCTCTTCTTTGGCTGGCTTTGGCTTCTTTGGCTTTGGCTTTCTTCATGTACCGTGGGTAAAGTGTTGTCATATATATCCTAATACACACACACACACACACATTCATGTTTACTTAATGCACAGCAGCTTACCGATTTCACACGCTTTTCAGTTCACATTTAAAGCCATACTATGTCACTTTTTGCTTTCTCGTTTCCATTGCTACGCTTGGAATCTTGCACAGTGTGATATTAAACAGCTCTGCTTTACATTTATCCGATTACATGTGGTTTTATAGCTCAAAAATATCGTAAAATTGGCATTCTGGCTTTGAGCGGGGTCGCCTCTCCACAGATCTGACCTGTAACTTGGTCTGGTTCGGTTTCCATGACGATAAGAAGTAGAAATGTTTAATAAGATACCGTGAAACATTCCAGATGAAACGATAACATCTAATCAACATCAAATAATTTCACTTGTGGATCAATAAAGTTTGTCTAAATCTACGGAGAAAAGCATTTGACGGATTCTCCACCGGAAAAGTTACACAGTGCACCTTTATTAATCTTACCTCATTGTCAAAAGCGTGGTTTTCAACACCATTTCTCCGTCCTGGATCCTCGAGCTCGTAAGTGTTGTCTTTTGCTGCAACAAGAACAATACGTCAGAGTTTACCTTGAGAAGTAAGTACCGGCTTGCAAAATAAACGAAAGAAGTTAAAGTCCAGAGGATTTAGTGGATTAAAGTGTGTCCGGAAATATCTACACAAAAAAACTGACTGAAAAGGAGTGCTGCTAATAGCTTACTCATTGTGTGTCCTCTTGCACCGAGCAGTTGTGGAATAATGACAGTCTCTTGGGCCACACACTCACACTTACACTCACAGTCACCACATCTGAACACTAATTAACAAACAGGACGTCCTGCTGTGGGCTGCCCTCGAGTTACTGGTTCGTGCCGTCATGTATCGAAACTGTTTTAATCTCTGAAGCGAGTGAGGGAGGCGATAAGGCCAGTGACAGATACAGACTGACCTGTGCTACCGGGATTCACATAACAACAATCATAAAGAACTTTACTGACATCGTCACACCCACGGAAAGGAGATAGACAAATGTGATAATCTGGAAATGTTGTAAAAGTGGGATTAGATTTCATTTGGTGATACACTAAACTTCAAGGGACTTTATTGGCTCTTTCCAGCTGTTGTTGTCCATATTCTGATGTAGATTTGTATTTCTATATTTCTACATCATTATAATATATTGTGATGTGTGAAAACTTTGTCCGAATCATTTCTACAACCAGAAAAACAAAGCATGACTGTTTGTAGATAGGTAGAGGAAAAAGGTGGTGTAGCGGCCAAAATGCACCTCCGGCCATTGTGTGGCACTATGTCTTTATTTTCTGTGGGTTGCTACGTATTTAAGACCTCTAATTAGGTAATACAAGTGTTCTGACCGTGTTCACAGCTCATGCTAAAATAAAGGAATATTTGAGCTTTTACTGGAGTTTTGGGCTCATTTATATGGAAACACGCGTCAGAAATGCCTTTTAAAATTTGCATCCCAGTGGCTTGTGTGGTATAGGGTCACACTGTCCCTATAGTTGGGAAAAAGGATCAAAATTTTAGATGCAACAAAGTCCAGGCGCCCCAACAAAAGTAAAAGTTGCATGAGGAAAAGTTTAGTTAAAAGGCCTTTATTTAAATGGCCAAAGCCAACATGTTTCAACCATGGGTGGGCTTCATCCACTAGAAAAGTTATACAATGCATCTTTAAAGCCAAATCCAATTGCAGTTTATATAGCTCTTTTTCTATACAAAACATTTTCTAAAGTGCTGCACATATAAAGATAATTACAAGTATGACTGTTACCCAAACCCAAAAAATCAAAATATAAGTTTACATAATTTAAAGCACGATTTATTTGGAATAACTTCATATATGCAAAAATATGTCTGACTTTTGATCATATTTATTTTTATTTTGTTTATTTGTTTATTCATATATTAAAAGGTGCATCGCAAAATTTTTTCTGGTAGAGGGTCCATCACCTGGTTTCAATTCATGGAAACTGTCTGACCTCGCAGCATTAGGATTCGTTCGCTTGATGGTAGGCAGGTACTTTTTTATTTAACCAATTGCTGCTATTTGGTCGTGATGTATGTAATGCGCCAAATCCCGTAGGAAGAAGGACAATAACTCTCCTTGATAAAATTCACCAACCATTCTTTTTGTTCCGGCTATAAATCCTCAATCTCAGGAATCGTTGCCAACACAGAATGTCTGTCTTCGTCTACATCCATCTCGACCGCTTTGTTTATGTTGTGCTGTTCCACAAAAAGGACCCAGACAGACTAGTTTGACGTCATGGCTTCACAGCTCTTCACTGATTGGTCGGTGCGCAGTCTACAACTTCCGGGATTCTTGCAAACCGTCTAGTGTATTCTGATCCCTGATCTAGTCGCTGGAGAGAAATGAAATTGAGTGGAGGCACTAGGTGGCAGCTGCCAAGCTACTTCATCAGTGCTTAGTTAAAAAATTTAAGTGTGGGTGTGGCCTTAATATACACACCAACCATTGGTAAGGACAGATGTTCAATATGCTCTATTCATGCTTACGTCACAAATCAGGAAGACGTTTGGAAACATCTGGTGGGCTCTGTTTGTAGAAGTAAGTCTGGCAAAATCTAGGAAAAATGAGAAAATGACCCAGTTTTCTTCATCTCCATGTCATTGTAGTGTTCCCTTATGTTCGACTAATCAACAATTACAACCATACGTCAGTTTTCATTTCCCCACTGACACACAAGTCATGTGATTAGAAGCGATGAGATGATTCCAAACAGCACATACGTCTGCAGTCTTTATTTTACCACTGATCACATTTACTTCAGTGGGTTTGATCACAGTTGAACAGCGAGCCCAGTGTTGAGAACTACACCTGAAATTGTCATCGCATGTTTTCAAACGTCTTCCTGGTTTGTGACATGAGTGTGAATAAAGCTTATTAGAAGTAGACAAGGCAGGTGCAAGACATGCAACATGGCACGGGCAACAGGAGTCACCTGCCTGTTTCCATGGAGATAGATCACTTTAATGCCACGCTGTCGAACATTCGAGGCAGAGCAAAAACAACTCAGTGAAGACAAATTGGTGGTGGATCCAACACCAGAAATGTTACACATTAAAACTTTTAATGAGCCCATATTGCGTTATTTTCTGATCTATGCTATAATGTTGTTTCCTCATCACAAACAGACCTGGAGTTGTGTTTTGTTTCAATCACACAAGTTTAACTCACAAACCCTGCAGACTTAGACTGAGCTCTTCTCTCTGCTTCATCTCGTGATGTCATGTGGCAATACAGGAAGTGCTCCACTGTGTTTTTAAACTCCATACACCCTCAACAGAATAATTTCTAGAATTTTAGCCCTGGAATTACCAATCTTTACTGAATAAAAGGTAAAAAGAGCTGGTCACTTGAAAAAACTACCACCTCATGACATTACAAGTTGGAACAGGACGTTTTGAGCTGTTGAGAGATGTAGACAGACTACCCCACGTACTCCGGTTTCCTGCTTCATTATGTATACACAAACACCAGTTTTAAATCCTCGCCTCCTAGTGTTGTGGAGGTGAATTGAATCGTGGAGCATAGACCTCGACGCAGATCCAGAAATCAAAAATGACCGACAATGCGATGGCAGCAGTGTGCGTTGAGTCGATGCAGAACTATAGTTTGGCCAAAATAATAAGGAGTCACTCAAACTTGCATGAATGAAACAAAACACAACTCCAGGTTTGTTTTTGATGAGGCAACAACATTATAACATGAATTAAAGCTCACAAGAGTAAATTTTGCGCAATTTAGGATCTTTAAAAACACACTTTTACTGAGGTTTGCGTTTGTGGGTATAGCACAAAATTTAAAATCTGAATCTATCCTGAAAGAGCGTTCATTACAATTCTACAAGCGTCATAACACCACAAGTGCCTGTATTGTTTACTTGAGACGCTCTTTAACTAACAAATATGAGGAACTGTTCAGGTCAGTGGGTGGTACTGCCCAGACGTGATGACACATAAGAGGATAAATTATAATCCAAAAATGATGAAAACATGCTTCATTAACGGCTTGTGTGTTTGGTTCAAGGGCTCTGCTGAACACTGATGTCACTCTGTTTGATTTTAATTATCATTATTTTCCACTTGTGGCTCATCACATCTTTTTATTCCACATAAAAGTTTCACAGCTCATAAGTGTCAGACATTAAGTTCGCCCTCCGTCGGTTGCAGCTTGTTTGGAGAAATGGGCACATCGAGGTAACGGCATTTTGCTTTTTGGGGTTTTAAGCAGTAAATTGCACATATATAAAACATTTTCAGTTTTATTGGGTGCAAAAACTGAAATTTAATTGATATGTAAACAATGAAAAGCAAATAAACCTATAAATAAAAAGCAAACTGATCTGAAAGTGTTTGTGTACTATGGTGTATGAATGTGAATACTTTAATGTGTATGTGTTTTGTTTTTTTCATTTAACTTCTCTAATGTTTGCAAAGATACACTATAATATACTTAACTTAGAGTTTGTTTGCTTGCGAGTAAAAACGACAAAATATTTTATTGGAAGTGCCTTTTGTTTAGACGGTGATGGCATTTTTGGGGCTTAAAAATGCAAAAATCTGAAACCACCCTCCAGAGTTGAAAAGTTGAATACGCTTCGCCATAGCGTTTTCGTCTACACTGCCCAAGACGCAAAACTCTGGTCAAATCTGCTCACGTCACGCACGCATTTACTTCACATACATACAGTACACAGAAACCTGGGATGCATACACAACTGAATTCCACACACTTTTGCGTCACCGTGTGCACGCAGATTTCCTCCCAAAAACGCTCGTCTAAAGTCAGAATAAAAAGTAAAGACACGACGAGACACTTTTGCGTCTTCTGTTCAGATTGTCATCATATAAACAAAGCCTTAGGGTGACCAGATGTCCCTGTTTACCCGGGACAGTCCCAGTTTTGAACCCTGTGTCCCCTGTCCCTCCAGATTTATTCAAAACCACTGATTTGCCCCAGTTTTTTACAAGAAATATCCCTGGTGTCTCTATTTTTGACCAATCTGATCCCTGCTAACAGTAAAGAGACTCATAAATTGTCATCTGTTTAGGTAAAATACAGAAAAGCTGCCTAAAAAAATGACCAAAACACAAAGAAAATGTGACTATACAGACTCATGTTATGTCATGAATTGGCCGAGCGCAGAACAGTTTTCCTTAATCGGGACAGTCCCAGTTTTGAGCCTGTGTCCCATGTCCCACCAGATTTATCCAAAACCACTGATTTGCCCCAGTTTTATACAAGAAATGTCCCAGGTGTCCATATTTTTTATCAATTTGATCACGGCCAACAGTAAAGAGACGTATACGTTATCATTTGTTTAGGTAAAATCCAGAAAAGCTGCTTAAAAATGACCAAAACTTAAAGAAAATGTGACTATACAGACTCACATGTTTGTCATGAATGGACCAAGCGCAGAACAGTTTTCCTTAATTACGCACTAGTTTCATAATTTATTTTTTACCAACCACAAATCCCAGTTTTTGATTTTGAAAGTCTGGTCACCCTAACTTCACTGTATACTGAATATAATGTAGATAAAATATTGTAAATTGTAAGAGTAGGATTGAAATAAGATTGAAATATGCTTCTTTCTACTCCTTTTTTAAAATTTTGTTTTTTTTTCTTCGTTAAATGTCCATGTTCTGAAAGTATGGAGACCACAAGTTGTGTTTTCATACATTAAATAAAAAAGTTCAAATAAAAGTAATTCTAACTCCAAAAAAAAAAAAAAAGTGTTGTGGTTCCAAAATGTAAAGCGATTTGAGCCGTTAAGGTGGAAAAGCGCTGTATAAAAATGTGGCCATTTTCCATTTAAAAGGTGCACAATGAACT